CCATCCCTTCGTTCCTTAATTTTTAGGCAAGCGCATATATGTAGAGTTATATATAATAATATAGATACGTGTAGGGCTTCCAAATCCCGGACAATTGTTTAAATCCCGGGAATCTCGGTTTTAGGCCTGCAAAATCCCGGGATTTTTCCCAGATTTAAATATTACCTAATAACCTGAAATTAGTCATATTGGGTTATCCAAAAAGGTACATGGCTGTGAAAAGTATGAACAAGACATCACATGAGCATAAGTTACATGCTTCCTTCGCATATCAATAAAGTTTGCGAAATCTTCTAGCAATAGAAGAGCACTTTTAGTTACTAAGCTAATTTCTCATTGGTTGGCTAAATTTCTCAAATTATTGATAGATATACCTATCACTAATTAACATATTAGTATTTTCGCTATTCGAAATTATGAACTCGAAAATGTCTAACCAACTCGGAAAAAACGAAGAATTTCTTTCCACAGAAGTAACATCCATGCCTCGCTGCATTGTGGCGTATTCTGTGATTAGCCAAATTATGTTCCGCGTGAGTCCTGTATTATCGCAGGAATGAACCAGCTCTTTATCTGTGTCATGTATTGCCTCCACGTGCACCTTTAAATTTGTAGAGTTGCAAAATATCTTGTCACAAAATGAGCATGGATAATTCCTCCGATTTTCATGCACAACTCGGATGTGGCGTTGTAGAGTAATCTTGCTTACGAATGTTTGAGGACAGACCTGACACTTTATCACGTCTCGCGTAGATTTTTCTAAATGCGTCATCTGTAAAATGAATATTCACATAGGCAACTTTTCACTTAGGATTTATCTTCACCTCGTTTTTTTCACCTTGATTTCCCATACGTTTATTTACCTGGTGAAGTTTCATGTTTGTTCTGTGGGCGAAGCTCTTCCCACAAGTGGAACAATTATACGGCTTCTCGGTCGTGTGAGTGGGAATGTGGCTTCCAAGTTCTGCCCTCGTTTTAAACTCTTTCCCGCAAAGTATGCATGGAAATCGGACCGGATTTTGGGCATGTTCAGTTCTCACGTGTTGCGAAATGTGTCGTTCGTTTTGGTAGGTTTTCTCACAGCCGGGGTACGTGCATGAAAAACGTGGTCGTTCCTTTGTGCCGTGGATGGCCTCAATATGTCGCCGTAAAGTTGTAATAGTGGCAAACACTTGGTGACAAGTGTCACAACTTGGCTGCTTCCGATTGGAGTGAAATCTCGACAAGTGGTAGGATAATGCGAGTCTGTTTTTGGAAATTATGCCGCAAATCTGTATAGGACAGAAGTTGACAAATGTGGATTGTAAGATTAAGTAGTTTCACTTTTGCAAATTTATTTATGCACACGCTCACCTCACATTTGACTTTGACGTCGGGATCGTGCGTGACGACGTGTCTGGTCAATGCGCTGTTGGCTTTAAATCTTTTTGAGCACTTTGAGCATTCCCATTTCTTTCCTGGCTTCATATCCATGTGGGTCAATGTTTGGTAAGCTTGTTGGCTTATGTATCTTCTCAAAAACTTGATGTTTGGTTAAGCAAATTTATTTTTGTATATATCTGAAAGTAAAAATTATTCAAAAAGTGCGAATTATAAAACAATGAGAACAATTTTTGCCAAGAATTCACGCATTATGAAAGCATGAACGAACATGAGACATTTCCAGGTAGTTTTACAGATATTTATTACGATAAGAAATGAATTTTAGTGAGTTATTAAGCACACAGAGATAAAATTTCGTTTTTTACCATGTGTTGTGTAGAATTGCTTAATTATTACTTACACATGTACCTAGATATGCAAGTGTTGTGAGAACGTGTGAAGTTAATACTGGTGTGAAAAGAGGTTGCGTTTGCTAACCACAGGAATGAGTGAAGACTTGACAAATTTCTGTATAAAAATAAAAATAATCAGGCCTTCACCCCTGAGGACCATACATACCGTTAATCCAAGGATTGCATACTCTATGTCGCCACGAGGTTACCACGTGACTAAATATGTACATACGTACATATGGTGGAAAATTATCACTATTTGAGAATGGATGGGGGTCAAACATATCTAGATAATTAATTTGACAAGTTTTGACTCATCCTCAGTCATGTGTGTGAATATCAACCCTCTTTGGGTTTCAACACCTTTCACCGAAAATATCATCGTGGAGTGGACATCAGAGTTGACCGCTGTAGCCTGCATCGACCCTACATATTCGAGTACTATACAGTCGAAATGAAGCGTGCAAAATTTACACAAGGTAGAGTAAAATTGAGGATGACCCAAGAATTGGGTAAAATTTGTTTCTTTTAATCTTAATTTTTTACTTAACCATAAGATAATTTTACACAACTTTATTGAGAGTCTAGAGTAATTTTCCAGGAAATGTTGCGGGGAAATCTTGTTGCGGGACAATAAATATGTATGTTCTTATTGATTGGACCAATATTGGGTCAAGATTTTTCGGCAACATATATAATTAGTTTCCCAAGTTTGGGTCGTTATTTTTATCCAAAACTCACGGAATTTTCAGCCATTAGTTCATTTATTCGGTTGCATGCCTCGTAGTTGTGGTTGACCTATGTACATACGCAGTCTAAAATAACACAACGCAAGTTTAAATCAAGCACACTAATTTCTAATAATTAATTAATTACTAAAGTCATACGTATTTAAAATTGATTTTTGTTATAAATCGGAAATATGTAGTGGATTTCTGCGCTTCAGTTCTCATTAAACAAAATTTCCCAAACTCATAATTACTTTCGCAAGGTTTGATTTGTAAGTATGTAAATCCAACCCATTTTTAACCTGCCCGTACATAGTACCGATTCTCACAAACAGTGAGAATCTTACCAATACAATACAAGTGTCCAGACCAGGTGGATTTCCAGTCAGGGAAGAAGTGGGAATGTTCCAAATGCTCTAAAACGTTCAAATACAAGTCCAACCTCAACAATCACGGCATCACGCACGATCCCGACGCCAAGGTCAAATGTCAGGTGGGATGATGATTTTAATATTGTACTCGATCTTGCCAATTTAATTCTATAAATGTGTACTTCATTAGATTTGCGGGAAAGTTTCCTAAAACCGAATCGCCCTAGCTGTTCACGTGTTAAACTATCACACCAACCGGGAGCGACCCAGTTGTGACACTTGTCACCGGGTGTTTGCCAATTCGAGTAATTTTCGAGAACACATAGGCGCCATCCATAGCACGAAGGAACGACCTCGTTTCCCATGTAGGTTTACTGGCTGTGAGAAAAAAGCGCGATGTTGTAAAACACGCAAAAATTGAACACGTCAAAAATCCGGTCCTATTTCCATTTACGCTTTGCGGAAAGGACTTCAAAACGAGGAGACAAGTTGAGCAACGCATTTCTACCCACACGACAGAGAAGCTGTACAATGGTGCCAGTTGTGGGAAAAGTTTCGGCCAAAGTAGACGTATGTATGAAACGTCACGAGGTAAATTAACATGTTATGGGAAAAGATACAAAGGTGGAAAATTACCAATTCATTTTGCAGATGACACGCGGAAAAATCTGACCGAGACACCGTGTCACGTCCGTCCTCAGACCTTCTTAAGTGGAGTTGCCCTACGACGCCACATCCATGAAAATTACACCAATCATCCTTGCGCATTTTGTGGGAAGAGATTCACGATAGCATCAAATTTCAAATGTCACGTGGAAGCGAGACATGCCACGAATAAAGAGCTGCAGATCCATTCCTGCGACAAATGCGAGTACAGGAGCCACGCTAATGTCAATTTTTCCGATCACAGAAGGCGGCAACATGCAACGAAGCAGGAATGCTACTTCTGTGGGAAGAAATTCCTTTTTTTCTAATTGGTCAGACATTGCCGAATTCATGTAATTGGCATGATGCCAATTACGTTTATACGTATTTTGCTATTGATATGCCAATGGCATACACGTCAATAATTTCTAATTTTTACGAAGTAGGTTTGTGGCATTTGGCAAAACGTGTTTTGTAGAAAGCTATGGGAGTTTAGTTACAAATTTTCTTAGTAACTGGATACGTATTTACTCAAGAATATTAATAATATTTATTTTCGCCTATCATAAACGCTTACGTAAAACTGACAAGTATTGTTGTGAGATTTTGAGCGCAAGGAAATGTTCAATAATCTCGATCTTCGCAAAAGATATCAACCAGCCATTTGCCCACCGGGCATATTTATACAAGTAATTGTACTTAATTAAGTTAACATTTCAGCAGTTTTATGTTAATAAATTTACCTTATACGTTATACGTTATACGAATAATAAATTTCTTTATTACGAAATCGATGCAACTATCATGCCACGTATAATCTGATCATGGTTTCGCACCTGCAAAGGACTTTGAGTCCGTCAATCTATTGGGCGTAACCAGTGCAATGAACGAGATTGATTATTAGATAGATAATCAATGCATTCTTTCACAGTCGGATGAGTACTCAACAAGTTTTCAAGTATGTAACTAATGGATCCGATATCTGAACCAATTCAATTAGTTTTATCCTCCTGTTAACGTGACTTACAATGGAGGTCTCCCAACGTATGCTCACAGATTTCGACCAAATCAATGTCAATCGACAACAAATAAATTTAATTAGTTAGAAATTTGAAAATAGCACGATCGGCCAATGCGCAGGTTGGGCGGAAAAATTTCCATAAAAAGCGGTAAAAATGCGTAGTAAATTTGGAAAGTGTAACATTTTCCAGGCCTTGGGCACGTTTCCCCTCCTTTAAAATCAAATATCTCCGCCAAACCTGCGCATTGGTACCCTTTGTAAAGTTCACATTAATTGTGTTATTCGTTAACGATTGACACCATTTTGGTCCAAATCTGTGGGCATACGTTGGGAGACCTCCATTGTTAGAGCAGTATAGATTTTATCATTTGATTATGATTTGTATGAAATGAATGCAATGATTGTAAAAGCTAATGCTACACCTTGAATCTTGAATAAAAACGGTACCCACCCAGTGCAATATACCCAGTCATTTCCCAACCCCCAAGCTATAAATAGCTATGTAAGCACTTTCCAGCATTACAGCACGGTTTGCATAGTTAATTAAACTTCTGGAACTAACATATAACCGTGTTTAATCCTCCCAAATACTGAAACAGACCCTGTAAAAATGGCTCCTCGAAATTTACCTCCATCTCTCCTAACCCGTGACGATGTGGAAACCCGACTTCTATCCCTAATTAAGGAATCCACGGGACAGGATGGGAATCCCGAGGGTTGTACGGTTCCGTCAGACATCCCCTGGTTTGACGCCACCCTGGCCGAAAGAGGGCGTCGTTTCGTCGAATCGAATTTCTTCGTCGTGCTCATGCTCAACTTTGTCAACACGTTCATGGGGCTGGCCAACAAGCCGATTGCGGTACTTTCCTTTGAAGTGTTTACCAAAGGGGGGCGGGGATGTGTGGGACCGAGATATGTTTCCACAGTGAAAAGCATGATTAGCTGGTTCCTCTCGGAAAAGTTTGACCAGGATTCCGACATCTTTCGAGAAGTGGAAAGGGTGAGAAAACTTCATCGGTTGTACGCCAGACCAGCAACATTGCCGGAAGTGCCACACCCAGGATTGGAGCTGGGCGAAGAGTACGAAGAATTTGCGAGGGTCGTGAGAAAGGATTTGGATAAGGTGGGTAATAAATGCTTGAGGTCAAGGGATCATGGCTGGACAGGTTATTAAATTATGTGTGTTCTTGGTGTACTATTAAGATTTTGATTGATTTAAATGCGATTTTATAATTAACATCTTTACAACATTTTTTTAGCAAGAGTAAATATTTTTTAGATAATGTTGACACATTTGCAATCCATGAGTCACACAAGTTCCAAATAATTTGTGTGGTGCTGAACTAACCACGATAAATAAATAAGCACGAGCATTAACAAATATGCATATGCAAATATATTTTGGCATTATTTAAGTCATGGTCTTCATTACAGATCGACACATCCCTCTGTCCAACCTCCCTCAAGGGGTGGAACCCTCCCCTGCTCTTCACCCAGTTCGAGCTGGCCTTCGTCGTCTACGCCTCGGTCTCCTCGCTATTCCTCTATCCGGAAAAGTTGGGTCTGTCCGGCGACTCGGAAACAACTGCCGGGATTTCCGGATACATCCACCTCTGGGCCGTTGCGGGACGCATGCTCGGCCTAAAGGACGAGTTCAACGTTGCTCTCAACCCGGATAGGGAATTTTACCTCAAAATTATGCAACATTTAGGGTTTGGCACCTTAAAACTGATGGACGCCACGGTTGCATACATGTTCGAGGAAAGCATAGCCCTTCTGAATGTCCCCTTTGGAGCGAGTGCTAAGGCGATCCTCTACACTGTTCTGGAATCGGGCGGTGTCACTCCGAGTAATTTATGGGGCTTTATGCATTTTGGTGACAAAGCGTCCTATTACGCGACGAAAGTAGTTTTCTGGGCGTACAAGAATTTGTGGGGGGTTCGGCTTGTTTTAAATGCCGTGGCGAGAGAGGGTTTTTTCTATGCGGCTCGTAAAAGTAAAAAGGTGGCCAATTATCGGTAAAAAATTCGAAATGTTTTTTTTAAATTAGACGGTCGAAAGTTTCGACTCGAAACTGATTATGAATAAATAAAAGTGGTGAATTATGTATATTATATGCAAATTGGAAAATCATATTGGTGTGTACATAAATTTTTTACTGTTTCTTAAATTGTTTTCGCATACAAACTTACTTTAGTATGAATGAGACCATCCACGCATGCGTGGGTGATGGGTGTGTGTCACACACGCGACACGCACGTCACGCACACGCATGAATGTCTGCATGCGTGTGCATTAATAATAGTTTGCATGGTCTCTGGCTCAGACTCTGAGCAAATACTGAAGAACTTTTTACGTAAGGTGATAATTAATTTCAAAGCACGCTTAATTCAAAAATGTTTTTTTAGTTTCCGCAACTTAACATTTCATGATGCTGAATCAGCACCATGAAATGTTAAATCATCAATGTACATTAAATTTTAATGCACATTGGTGAATAATTTGCAAATTTTCAACTACAATAAATAATAATATTTAAATACTATTAGAAATATGTAGGTAAAGAAAATGAATTTATTTTTTTGTGATAAAATTTGAACAAGTTATACAGTGGGCGTACTCACGACAACTTCTTATTTCGCATCGCAAATCATTTAGCAAACTTGCGAAGATTAAAATATTTCCGTCGTGAGGGGATTCGCAAAATATGACTTCGCAAAACTCCCTTATCTCGCAAATCTACAGAAAACACCTATTTTGGAATTGTTTCCATGGATTTCTGTAATTTCTCTTGCAGAATTACTTTGCGAAATAATTTTGCGAAATAAGGACATACTCAATTGCTGAGTAAATTTGCGAAAAAAAATCCCATGGTTTTCCAGCAATTTTTTTGCGAAATCTCGCATATCTCGCAAAACTTAGCAAGTTATGTTGCTATGCTCAATTTGCGAGATATGCGAGATATGCGAAGGTTGACGTGAGTACGTTCAGTATTATTTGTTACGCATGCTTCACTAACGGAATACCTTAATAGCATTTTATCACGAATAGCCACAGAAAACTTATTTTCTGTTTATTACTCTGGGTTCAGCTGTATCTGTTATTATGCAATAATGACCATGAAATTTTGAGAATGGTGAATATCACTTACATATATATAGAATTTCATTGTTAATATTATCAGATATTTTTTGCATGCAATAGACAGCCCTGGTGAAGTAAAATTATCTGGTTATCAAAGAGGGGAGATATGGGAGTGTTTAGTACTTTTTAGTGCATTTCCTCATCTTAGAACTCTTTACTTACATATATAATCTAAACTTTATTTCAGATAAACATGTATTCTCCATGTAAGATTCTCAACCTTTTGCAGCTGTAAGAGCCCTGAAAATCCTAACGACTGAGGAGCGGATATCAAACTACTGTAATTGGCCAAAGTACATATACTTTCCCCATCTGTGCTTATTTTGGTCAGAATTATTAAGGAGAGCATGCTCGATAGATATAAAAATACACACGCTTTCACGCGTATATTTACATATCATGCTAACATAAGTAGGTGTTTTACTTTTCAAAAGTATGAACTCGACAATGTCTGACCAATTCGGAAGAAGTGAGCAATTTCTTCAAACAGAAGTAACATTCATGCTTTACTGCATCATGTCGTATTCTATGAGCGGCCAAATTATATTTCGAGTGGCTCTTGTACTCGCATTTGTCGCAGGAATGGATCAGCTCTTTATTCGTGGCATGTACTGCCTCCACGTGACGCTTCAAATCTGTGGTACTCACAAATCTCTTGTCGCAAAAGGTACACGGATAATTTCTCTGATCTTCATACGCAACTCGGATGTGGTGTTGACGAGCAGTCTTGCTTAAGAATGTCTGAAGACAGATGTGACACTTTGATACCAATCGGGTAGATTTTTCCAAATGTGTCCTCTGCAAAATTAGTATGCACATTGGAAATTTTTTACCAATTTTTTCCCCCAAAAAACGCTTATGTATTTACCTCGTGACTTTTCACGTGTCCTTTGTGAGTGAAACTCCCCCCACAAGTGGCACAATTGAAGGGCTTCTCCTTCGTGTGGGTGCGAATGTGTTGTCCGAGTTCAGCCCTCGTTCTGAAGTCCTTTTCGCAAAGCGTGCACGGAAATCGAACAGGATTATCGGCATGTTCATTATTCACGTGTTGCCAAAGACTATTCCTGTTTTGGTAGGTTTTCTCACAGCCTGGAAACCTGCATGGGAAACGAGATCGTTCCTTCGTGCTGTGGACGGCGTCAATATGTCCCCGTAAAGTCAAAGGGGTAGAAAATTCGCGGTGACAAGTGTCACAACTTGGCCGCTTCCGGTGGCTGTGAAATCTCGATACGTGGCGAGATAAGCTGAATTTGCTTTTATAAAATTTGCCACACATCTAAGCGAAACAGAAGTGGAAAAATGTACATGGTGAAATCATTTTTGCAAATTTATGTACACCTCTCACCTGACATTTAACTTTGGCATCAGGATCGTGAGAAGCCATGTGTATTGTCAACTCGTTATACGTGTCAAACAATCGGGTGCACTGGGAACACTCCCATTTCTTTCCTGGCTTCGAATCCATATGGATTGAATATTTGTAGATTTATGTGTGTCCGAAAAAAATGATGAGCTGAAACAAATTCAATTTGGTAAAAGTGACCAGTATAAATATTTCCACTATGTTTATCTACATATTTTACGGATGTATGTACATACTAAATATGTGTATTAGGTTAGGACTGGTTGAATTTTTCATTTGATTTAAATAGGCTTACTTGAAATTATTAATTAGTGTAGTGTCTGAAAAATATGGAGACGTTTAAAGTCCAGTAGGCAGCGAGGTAATATAGCGTGTGGATGAATGAATGGTTTAAAATGGTCGACTGAAAATAAAAAAAAATTCAAAAATGGGAAAAGGTTGAAGTTGAGGGTTACGAAAAGGATGGAAATGAAACTCCTGGAAATTCCTCTCTAATTTTGTGCAGAAGAAAGATTGGGAAATCGAATGCACGGTCATGCTAATAATGCATACATACATACGTATTTATTGATGTACGTCATATTTACAATGAATTGTTACAAATTTGCTTAATATTTCGAAATATTGTATATTATGTTTTTATTTTAATATTTAAATTTTCAAGTTACTTTTAAACAACTTTAGCTGAATTTTGATGTGTCATAAATGCCTAAATAATAAAATAACTTTAAAAAAGCTTCCTTAGGTGAGGCGCTGCTAAAAGTGAAAAACAAGATTTCTGGCCTTATCTTTTAAATATCTCGTCCCCTCATCCTTGTAACAGGAGATGGTGGCTTTGCATCACCGTGAGGCCAGTCATTTTAACCATATAACATACCACGCCGTTTATTACACACCGCAACGATAACAAAAATTGTATTTGCCACTAATAAATTAGTTAACGCATTGCTAATGAAAATATATATTGATGCATAAACAGATTATTTGGAAAGGCTTATAAACTTGAGTTTATAAAAACTATTTCGGAGGATGAATATGATTAGATTAGCAAAAAATTTATTTCACAAGCTAACCAGTACTTCAGGCAGCCAACATAATTTATGGATGGCCCGTAACGAAATTTAATTGGCTTGCACAATTTTCTGCATGTGTTATACAAACTACTTCAACCACCTTTGCTGAATTTTAAAAATGCCCCGTTCGAAAATTTAAGGGTAGGATTTTCTTAAATAATTTAAAAACAATTGACCAAGCCAGCGGCGGTAGTACGCTAAAGGCTAATTGTATTTACTAGCACAACTAGTTCCCAATACGAACCAGAAAGTAACAAATGATAATTTTGAGAAATTCGTGAAGCTGGACTTTGTTCCAGCGAGTTGCGAATTATTATGCGAATAAATTCTTTATTGCCAGAAGCTTAGCGTAAAATGACTGGCCTCACGGTGATGCAAAGCCACCATCTCCTGTTACAAGGATGAGGGGACGAGATATTTAAAAGATAAGGCCAGAAATCTTGTTTTTCACTTTTAGCAGCGCCTCACCTAAGGAAGCTTTTTTAAAGTTATTTTATTTCGTGGATTTTAGGTGATTTTTTCAAATTTCGCCACCAGGGTTATTACCGGTTTAGTAACAAAATGTCTACCACTGAATAATTAATTAATTACCATGCGGTAGAGTCACATAGATACTCAGCCTGGTAATACCTTAGTTACCGTGTTTCTTAGAGTGTAGCAATAAAACGGACAGGAAATTTGACAAAGTAATCTAATTATTAAATTTAAAATTTTCAATAGAATTTACATTAACCCTAGTCCGGATTCATAATCACTAATCACCAATCAGATATTTCCTAACTCTGACCAGCAAGTGAGTGTCTAAATATTTTATACCCGAAATTTATTAAAGACAACTACTATTATTTTTAGTAAATTGCTATATTGGCTGCTAATAGCAACCAGCTACATTGCAATTTTGATGAAGAATGCTTAGCAACATGAACAGTTTCAGATGCCTCCATCAAAACTCTTTCAGTTTTGAACCGATCTCAATCGGATTTGTTTTAAATGATGCATAACCGATTTTTACACAATAAAATCAGGTTTTATGCATATATTCCTTTGACACGAATGTCTCAAATTTTGATTGTAAAGTTTCAAATTGAAATTTGGGGGCTCAAAATGCAACTTTTTCGTCGGGAAAGCTGTAAAACCGCATCTCCCCATTCTCCTCTGCACGATTGCTCTGTACACCATTTGCGTAGGATTAACCGTTTAGGCTCTAGCCTTGTCGACAGTTTCAAAGGGTGTATACGAATGCATACTTAGGCTTCGCCGTAACTATGGTGACGCTTTTTTTTTGCGGGCACCAATTGTTACTTTTGCCTCACCTAAGAATAAAATTGACACTAAAACGCTTTACACGCATGCTCGCGTACAATGAAAAGATGAAAATCTGTAACGTACAGTTTTCGGTATTTCTACAGATGCTTAAAAAGTTATTAAATTAAGTCTTGAATTTGTTTAAAAAATTGTATAAATAGATTTACGAATAATTATAGATTTTGAAATTCGATCCCGTCTCAGGTATCAAATGATTCACGGAATGTGTGAATGCATGCATATATATGAATTCTAACATCCTGGTCAGTTTCAATTAAGGATTTGTAGAGGCTGTCTAGGTACTCCAAATGGGGCACCAGTAACGAAACACGTAAAATAGCTTGGTCGGTGGCTAGGTTTGTATTCTATGCTGATTTGCCCAGAATGAGAAATAAATCCGAAAAACAAGAGGTGAATACATAACTTCAGAACGGAAAACCAAAAATCTATAACAATTGTACATTCAACTATCAAAACTATTATTGCCCACATTTAGGTTGAATGTCCTGATTCTCCGCATAATAAAGGATAGTTAGTTATTTTTATCCAAGAGTTTGTCAACCTTTCACTTGTTGGATAGTTAAAAACGCAACCTTTTCCGCACTACACGGACCAACATTGACTTTTCATACATATTCATTTACATACTTCTAAGCAAAACCTGCAAAAGTAAGAATTAAGCAATCCAACTCAACACGGTAAAAAACGACATTTTACCCAATACCGTTACCCTCGTTCCGTAAACGAATAGCTAACCATAAGTAGCACCAAATTCATTATTACAATAAATATTATTACCTCTGCAAATTCACGGAAATTTGCTTCATGAAATTTGCTCCAATCCTTTTAAGTGTGTGAATTATTAAATTATCGAAATATTGTGTGAATACTTATGTAAATGCAAACGATTTTTTTGCACAAATACCTCTTAACAATTGCAGAATCGACATGGACCTGAACATAGGGAAAAAGTGGGGATGCTCAACGTGCACAAAAACGTTTAAAACTTATAGCGACTTGACCAAACACATCGTCACGTACGATCCCGATGCCAAGGTTAAATGTGAGGTGAGCGTGTACAAATTTCAAAAAGTGAAACAAATTTTACAATATAAATATGCACATTTGTCTACTTCTGTCCAGTAGCGGAACTATAGATTCGGGGCCGGTATGTGAGCTGGATATGGGGGCCTAAATTTGAATGAACTATTACAAGTGGGAGGCAATTTTTTTGTTAATTCTAGCTATGAAATTTAATGCTACACTGTAATTCTTCTAGTACGCATACATACTCGAACCATAAGTTCTGGTCCATAAGTTCTGGCATTCTGAACTACTGTCAATGTTCCTATGCGTCATGTGAGGTTCCATGTCTAGTTTATAAACCGTGTGACTCTATTTCGTTGATTTCACAAATTTCTGTTATGAGCAACGACCAATTTCATTGTTCTTTTCTTTGAGGTGGTTTGCCTAATTTTTAGGGTTGCCGCGGGTAGCGAAAATGCTACCCGTTACCCGACCCGCTACCCGCAGCACAACTACCCGTACCCGCACGGGTACCCGTTACCCGCTACCCGTTATGAGAATTAAGTTAAAACCTAACCAACCATCAGAATAAATTCGATTTAATTAATTACTTGCTCACTTGGGTTGATATCATACTCTGTGGTTGATATGTAGTTTGAGATAATGGTACGCAAGTAACGCATGCCATCATTTGCCATTATTTTCTATCATTTGCTATCATTGGTTGGTTCTGAAATCAAACTTTTTGACTAACAATGGAACGTTTTTCAAACTACATCGGGATTTCTTGGAGAATTATATCAAAAAACAAGCCAAAAATGAGGAATTATCACTTATCTTTCCCCTGAATAGCCCGTTTATAGATAACTGTTGGTGGAGAGTTCAAAGTCTATCATGGTTTGCGTCCAGTGGAGGAAAAAGATGCAGAACACAGAACATTTACTTAAAAATAGAACTTTGCCGCCAATAGTTTTCATCAAAATGGACATTCAACAGAAAGTATCACACGAGTCCTAATTTTTGGCTTGACTTTTTAACATACTCGATAGAAAATCTTTTGTTGTAGCTTGAAAAAAGATCAAATCTATAGTTTGATTTTTTGTAATTTTGATTTAAATGAAGTTTTCATTACAAAATTGTCTATAAATAACGTTTTTGCCTTCAATCAGACTTAGGTTTTTCACCTTTAAAGTATAAATTAAAATCTCGTCAGTCTTACACACATATACACGTCAAATTATAACTCATATCTTACAATGCGTTGGTGTGTGGTGTAACCTTCCTATTTGTTTGAAATTTTGAAATTAAGTGGTCCATGTCAATACAACCAACGTTTCTTGAGGCAGTTTGTGCGATGGTCAGAATTTGTCAAAATATTTGAGGTCAAAGTTGACAAATGTGCAATTTTTAGCACTGGAAGAGAATGGAAGTCGAGTTTACTTCCTCCGACTGGTAAACATTTTCCATTTTTCAACTTTGACCTCAAATATTTTGACAAATTGAGACCATCGCACAAACTGCCCCAAGAAACGTTGGTTGTATTGACGTGGACCACTTAATTTCAAAATTTCAAACAAATAGGAAGGTTACACCACACACCATCCCATTGTTAGATCAGGCGAATTATGCTTGAGAAACAATAATTTCTCCGCATGTTCGGGACGTGAAAAGTATTTTAGACTGCCGTAGGCTTCTGTGGCTTCCGAAAAGACACGCTCGCTATAAACCCTAGTTGCCGGAAAATGGCACATTTTGAAATGGATAAATAATAAATTGACGCTTTTGTTGGTAAATGAACTAATTTGCTGCTACCTTTCTTTGTGAACTGATTTATGTCGAAAATTAAATAAAAACTGAACTACCCGTTACCCGTGCGGGTAGCTCTCGCTACCCGCAGATAACGGGTACCCGCAAGAATCGTGCGGGTATGCGGGTAACGGGTACCCGACCCGTTACCCGCGGCAACCCTACTAATTTTGCTCGTTTGTACAAGTAAGTGCCAAACTACCAGGTTTTGATGAATCTTGGGCTTAATCATTCTTTTCGTAGTAGGCCACATCCCCCTGCGTCACCCTGACCATTTTTTTGATGTACATAAATTTTTGTTACTCTGTAGCGTTACTGTTTTCTTATCACATCCAAAATTCTCTTAATCTTCTTGTGCTTTTAATTGGGGCTCAAGTAACATTTGTGTCTGAATTTTATCAGGTTCATAATTAACCCATAGCATTGGACCTCTGATGGTAAAATTTTCAAATTAAAATATTCAGTGGTTCAGAAATGACAGCCGATTTTTGTCTTGAACTCGTGCAAAAAAATGATCGGGAGATACATTTGGGCCACCCTTTATGTATCATATGTACAGCCTGTATATAAATGTTTTTTTTGTGTAAACTAAAAACAATCTGCAAAAGTGCAAGAAATGGTAACAGATTTAGATTTACCAGTATTTAAATTAATTCAACTAATTATTCCTGTTTTTTAAACTTTTGATTCGTCAATGAAAAAATCCAATAAGATATACACACAAGCATCCGACGGCCGGGGGCCGTCTCATCTTGGGGGCCGATATGTGGGACCTCCCCCACCTACCCTATTTACGCCAGTGCTTCTGTCTTGCTTAGGTTTGCGGCTTTATTTCCAAAAACAGACGAGCCTTATCTTGCCACATGCGGAAACAACACAGCAACCGGAAGCGACCCAGTTGTGATACTTGTCACCGTGTAATGTCTTCCTATTACGCTTTACGGCAGCATATTGACGCCTTTCACAACACGAAAGAACGACCTCGTTTGCCATGCACGTTTCTCGGATGTGAGAAAACCTACCAAAACAGGAGTAGTATTTTGCATCACGCGAGAACTGAACACTCCGAAAATCCGGTCCGATTTCCGTGCACACTTTGCAAAAAGGAATTCAAAACGAGGACTGAACTTGAGATTCACATTCCCACCCACACCACGGAGAAGCCGTACAATTGTGCCACTTGTGGGAGGAGGTTTGCCAACAGGGGATATATGAAACTTCACGAGGTAAATAAGCGAGAAAAATTAGGTGATAAATGACAAATTACGAAATTATCAAAATGAATTTTTCAGACGACGCATTTGGAAAAGTCTGCACGAAAGGTGTCAAAGTGTCACATCTGTACTCAGATCTTCTTTTTTACAAGTGGTCTGCAAAACCACATCCGAGTTGTGCATGAAAATCAGAAGAATTATCCGTGCCAGGTTTGCGACAAGAGATTCTCCAAGCCATCAGAATTGAAGTTTCACGTGGAGGCGAGACATGCCACGAATAAGGAGCCGGTCCATTCCTGCGACAAATGCGAGTTCAGGAGCCACTGGAAAGGCAATTTGAGCAAGCACAGATTACGTCACAATCCAGCGAGGCATGAATGTTACTTCTGTGGGAAGAAATTCTTCGTTTTTCACGAGTTCGTCCATCATTTTTGAGTTCATACTCTGGAAAAGTCGTAGATACGGTATTAATAATTTAAAAAAGTTGAAAAATTGAAATACTTTTGTATATGACGGGAATTTCTTTCGAATTTGTATTAAATATCGTCGTTGAAGCTGCCAAAAGAGCTAAATCCATTTTATGTCGATTACCAAAAGAGCCAAATCCATTTTGTGTCAATTGCCAAAAGAGCCAAATCCATTTTATGTCAATTGCCAAAAGAGCTAAATCCATTTTATGTCAATTGCCAAAAGAGCCAAATCCATTTTGTGTCAATTGACATAAAATGGATTTGGCTCTTTTGGCAGCTTCAACGACGATATGTATTTATTTGACATATGTGACTTGAGCACGAAGTTTGGTTAGTGCGTATAGATAAAGTTGCTTGAAATTACTTTCTCTAGCTGACCAGCAAGTTTTGTTATATTTTCCTACGCAGATTGTAACAAACCTTTTTTTATACGGTAACAGCCGTATTCTTTTTAAATAAAACGATACTTGTTAAATATTACATTCACTGACAGTGAATCACTGTCAATAACATGGTATTCATTTTGTATATTGATACTATTAGAAAACCGGTAGTAAACCATTACCGGCCGGACGGCACCGTAATAACGGGCATTACCGTTAGTAGGAATGTGGCAATGAAAAATTTACCACTCAGAAATAAAATATTTACTATGAATAAATCCTGTATGAAGTTACGATTAAATTAATACTAGATAACCCGGCATATATACACTAGCGGAACTAGGGGTAGGCAGGGTAGGCATTGCCTAGGGGCCCCCGCGGAGCTGGGGCCCCGACATTCCTCATAATTTTTATAAATTTGTTACCTCCCGAACATTGGGGAAACTAAGGACAAGCGTTGCAGAAGGGGCATAATAAAATCAGAATATCTATATTATAATTTCCATTCCAAAAATTCTTCGATGGGAATGGGAATTGCGACTATCAAATTTGCTGTTTATTTTTCTACAGGCTTTGCGCCTAAAATCCTATCTTGATTAATAATTTTTCATGTTCTAAAATTATCAATTTTTTAGTGATTTAAAGGGTGGGCAACTTAAAAGTGGTACAGTGGCGCTTTGTCCATATTTCTGGTATAGCTGCTAAGATTTCCATCATTTTGTATTTTTTAGACATGTCATACAAATTGTTAATGACTGGTACAAAAAGAGCTCAAAATCGTTTATACATTGCGAGGAATTCATATTTGTACAAAATCTTAGGTAGTTGAAACAAGTTGGATTTCTTCCGCATGCATAAGGATTTCTGCTCTTTCTTATTTTTGTAATTTTTCTGATAGGTTAAGCTATCAAATGCAGAAAATAAAATTTGAAAAAATTTGCATTTCTCCAGAAAATTCACGAAAAATTAAAATCCCTGATTACGCGACACCGAAAGTTGAAAATTATTTACCCTGGAAAGGCCAAACGAATTGTTATTTAGCTAATTTGGCATGAGTTTCCTAGACAGCATTCCGTTGGAGAGTTCGGCACCAAAAACAAAACAAAAGTCCTCCCCAGGTAGTCAAAGCTTTGAAAAAGGCAACCTTTTGAATGTTTTGACAAAAAATTTCCTCCACCCTGTACATTTATTCGAATAGGGTCAATATTTTTCCTGGTTAATGCCAACTTCTGTGGGGAGGTACTACGTGAAATAAATGAAGCGTAATCCTCGGGGGACGATAGTTGGGAACAATTTAATTTTAGGTATGCGAAAAGTAGTATTGCTTTTGTCAGATCTAAAGAAACCGGGGTTTTCACCGCTTAAACTCATTTACACCCCATTGATGGGGTGACAAATATGAATTAAACAATATGAAAATCGGAACAATTTTCGTCTGGAGGACCCTATTGGGTGACCTTTCCGGATTTTTTAAATCGTCGTATCAAGCTGAAATTTTCTACATAGGCTGCCAATTGATACTTTTAAAAGAATAAGAATTTAAATCGGAAAAATAAACTTAAATTTTTAAATTAGAAAAATCAATCAAAATTTTTAAATTGGAAAAATCACTTTAAGTTTTTAAATTGTTTGATATGCATTTACGATAAAATTTCATGCAAAAAGTGGGACTGAGTGATAACCACGTTGGTCTGACTCGGGCTATATCAAGTCTGCACTGTAGGTTTTTGGTTTGGATACGGCCCTTAGTTTGTGCTAACAAAAATCTCATTGGTACCCTTCTGAAGAGTCATAAGCGGCCCCGTTTTAAATTTGAACCCGATTTCTTTAGAAAAGCCATAAGCAATATGGTGCAGAATTCAGCATGCTACAAAACAGTATATAACTACTGTCAAATCTAACTAAATAGAGCACTGGGTGCTATCATAAGACTAACTAGGCAGTTGTTAATAAGTGTGGAAAATTTCATTCAAATTCGCCAAGCCCTTTTGATTTGATGACATTCTAAACCCAACAGTTTGCGACTAGGTGCTGTACCACTTTTAGCTCAAAAATCATTAATGAAACTACTGCGAAAACTGAACTCCGTGCTACCAGCCAGCTCTGCCATCAATTTTTGAAGTTGTGGTTTTACTAATAAATTATTTTAAGAAAACCTTTGTCGTTTGACCATATGGCGCAAAATTACCTTCCTAAAACCAAAAAATGTCCCTAATTTATGAACTATTTTCAAATCTGTCAGGGACACAGGGACAGGGGCCTCCGACGTACCTTTGCCTACCGGCCCCAAATTTATAGTTCCGCTACTGCATATATATGTATGTGACGCTACCAAATTTTTAACATTACATACATACCAACATGTATTTTTAATTACTTATTATGAATTAATTAATTAAAATTAGTTACTTAATCGCTTACATATGTGTGTGTATTTACGTATGCGTGCTTAAGTCTGTGTGTAATTATGTCATCAATAGTAGTGACACCGTAAGACTCAAACAGTGATCGAGGACAACAAGTGAGGTCAAGTGATCGATGAAATTGCTGCCAAATCGTATCTTCAGAGGCTGAAACGACCTCGAAATTCTCTTCGCTTCCGACTTTCTTCCAAACCCTTCCATATTTTTCCACTTTTCCGTCAACTGTGACGACTTCAGGTTGACATATCCCATCGAGGCGAGATCGACGCCGATCGTAAGAATAAAATCCATCAGCAATGTGACGAAAAAGGACAATCCGGCGATCGAGATTGTGCTGTGCATTCGGATGCAGACGTACAACGAGAAGACGATCCCGTTCGATGCGACGGCGTAAACTCCGGGGATGAAGAGATTCTTGAAGACAACGTCGATCTGCTTGACTAGAATTTGACATTGGGCATAAATCCGGAATGATTGGATGATCAAGTCGTTTTTAATCCGGGGCGTCACAAATGCCTTGATCCGAATCCGGGCAATTTGGCTAAATTATTTCAAAAAATTAGAAACACACGTCATGTAGTCTTGAATAGGTATGTAATAATAAGAACAAAACTTTTACGTATGAACACATATGCGATTCCATATCTTAATAAAAGCAGGAATTTTCACGAAAATTGATATAAATAATATCTACCAGGTTTTTAATTATTTTCAATGAGACAACTCACGCAGGCCTTAGGAACGTTATAAAATTCGTAAATTCTGCAAATTTATAAATTTTTACAAAATTTTACAAACATTTCTTAGGAGAATTAGGTTATAAATTCTTATAAACTTGTGTACATATGTACTTATTGTTAAATCAAGGACGTTTTAATTTTTAAAAGTTCGTAAAATTATTTTATAAGAAAAACTTACGGATGTTGCAAATTACCAATGACTGCGTGAATTGCATTAATAATGAATATTTCTGTAAGCTCTTTTAATTCAACATACATACATATGCACAACACAGATAAATATTTATAGGTGTGCTTGCTTATCTGCTTAATCCGTCAAGTGGAAATCAAGATATGTAACAGCTTGCATGCCATCCAGAAATCAAGATAAAGGGTTACCTTCCAAGTAGTGCCATATATTCCTGCAGGGAGCATCCGAACCCCAGCAAGAAATTTACAATCACCAGAGCCGCCGGTTGGGCCACGTGGAAGTACATGAACGCATCAAATAAAATCCCAATCACCGCGATCGCATCTAATCCATCGTGTTGCGATGTTGGAAGGAGACAGGCCGCTCTCATGGATCCGACGTACGGCAGTGTGCACGGATTACGGAATAATTGGAGGGGTACAATTATCCCAAAGGATGCGCAGGAGGCGGTACTTATGACGAAAACTATTTTCGCGTAGGTCGCACCCTTACGGATTTTAGCATCAATGATGGGAATTTCTGCAAGTTTTTAGACATAAATATGTCAGATTATACGCATGTATCCATTTATTTACGATACGATCTCGACGTCATCATTGAAATTCCATCAGTAATGAGAGTGATGACGTCGAGGATATTACAGTAAGTAAACAAGGGTACATATCTATGTACTATGCAAAACGTAAATTTCTCCTTTACAAGAATGATAAAGATTGAAGAAATTAAAATGCACATTACTTATTAAGTAATGTCTTGTGTCAAAATAAGTACATTTTAGAATCTAGTTGCTTATCGCGACACAGAAAAATTCGCTGTCGTAATCATATTTAAATCAACATAACGATTTGTCTAATTTCTCACCTTTCAACAATTTCTGTTCAAATTGTAGAAATCCATTCACCAAAAGGAAGCCTTCCTTTTCCCAAACATAACAAGTTATCCGACACACTACACAAATAGTGTAGGTAATAAGGACCACGAGCGCTTTCAAAATATGGGGAAGAGACATTTTGTCCCTATTAAGACCCAAATGTGCACACATGGCGAAAAGATAAACCACGTGGAGGAACACGGTCACCTTGTAAATCCGTTTCGATTTGGGATCGATAATTTTCAGAGTATCTGACACGTCGTCGTATTCATAGGGAATCGCGTAACACCAATTGTTCAGCTTCAGGGCGATTAACATATATGTAAAGTATGACTGACCTTTAGAAAACATGTTTTTTATTGATATATTTTGAAACAAAATTCTGTAAGCAGAATTAAGTCTGTAATCTCGACTTCAATTTATACAATGTTGATGATATGTATTGGTTCGTAATTGTACAATGTGCACACTTATCGTCCCACGTAATTAAATACTTGCATTTTGTGACCACTTTCATGTCCACTAATTGGGAATAATTTTATTTCCTAAAAATAATAAACTTGCTTAAGAAACTCGGAAATAAACATTGGAGCTATTTCGATAAATTATTAATTTAGTTAGGAAAAAATGAACTACTCACAGGAGCATTGCATACTTTAAAGAAATAATTACACGAGAATTATTCAAAATACGTATTTGCTATCATATTACAACAAAAAGAGCTCTTGACACTGACCACTTAACTTTGAAAGTGATGGGATCGATGATGTTCTGCTTTGCTTATACATGCATGTATACCTACTCCACGTACGCCTTTCGTAACGGGTTTAACCCATCTTAACAAATTTTATTGCAGGCAAACCGATTAGTTAAATTGTACCTTGTTAAGATTAATGTGAATCAATTTCAGCCACAAAATTGCGCGCAAACTTTTCAATCGAAAGCACTAACCTTGACAAACCTTGGGGGAGATATATCTATGTATGTATGTAAATAAGTAGGTACGAGTGCACATGTTTGCCATGCTAACTTGTAATTATGAAACGCAGGTAAATAGCGGCTGTTAAATTGGTTTGAATTAAGACAACAGTGTCGCTTTAATGACCTCGCGGAACTGATGCCACAAAATTTCAAAAAATATGGAAATGTCGAAATTCTGTGATAAGAAAATCGATTTCAAGTTTTATTTATTTTAGTTTCATTTTTAGTTATAGTTCAAGAAGCTTTGGTTGTCTAGTGAGTATTAATTTCAAAAAGACGTAAGTGCAGGCGATGTTTAATTTTAAAAAGACGTAAGTGCACAAAAAAAACTAGTAAAAAGACGTAAGTGCACTTTTAAAATTATAAATAGTAATTACTTGTTCAAAATTGTCCTGTCAATTGAAATTTGACTTTATTGGCCCCCCGTAGGCTAGTAATGAAAGATTATTAAAAATTTAAAAACCACACCCTCAGGGGGTGTGGTTCTTGGCGCCAAACATAAGGTGAAAAAAATCCTGACTCTTATTTCTTTTCTCACCGCCATGAGGCAATTACCAAAGATTATTAAAAATTTAAAAACCACGCCCTTAGTGGGTGTGGTTCTCGGCTCCTATTTTGCTCTAAATAAAACATGGCATGCAATATATCATTTTTGTCAGCCCAACAATCGATATTCGACGGTACACACAAAATTTTAAAACCATAACTTTCAGGGGGAGTGGTTCTTAAATTCAAAATCGAATTTTGACTTGATTACGCCCCCAAAGCTTCCAAAATTGAACTTTGACTTTGTTACACCTCCAAAGTTTCCAAAAATGAAGTTTGACTTTGTTACACCTCCAAAGTTTCCAAAATTGAATTTTGACTTGGTTACACCCCCAAAGTTTCTAAAATTTAATTTTGGAAACTTTGGGAGTGTAGCCAAGTCAAACTTCAATTTTGGAAACTTTGGGGGTGTAACAAAGTCAAACTTCATTTTTGGAAAGTTTGGGGGCGTAATCAAGTCGAACTTCAATTTTGGAAACTTTGGGGGTGTAACCAAGTCAAAATTCAATTTTGGAAACTTTGGGGGTGTAACCAAGTCAAAATTCAATTTTGGAAACTTTGGGGGTGTAACAAAGTCAAACTTCATTTTTGGAAAGTTTGGGGGCGTAATCAAGTCGAACTTCAATTTTGGAAACTTTGGGGGTGTAACCAAGTCAAAATTCAATTTTGGAAACTTTGGGGGTGTAACCATGCCAAAATTCAATTTTGAATTTAAGAACCACTCCCCCTGAAAGTTTTGGTTTTAAAATTTTGTGTGTACCGTCGAATATCGATTGTAGGGCTGACAAAAATGATATATTGCATGCCATGTTTTATTTAGAGCAAAATAGGCGCCGAGAACCACACCCACTAAGGGCGTGGTTTTTAAATTTTTAATAATCTTTGGTAATTGCCTCATGGCGGTGAGAAAAGAAATAAGAGTCAGGATTTTTTTCACCTTATGTTTGGCGCCAAGAACCACACCCCCTGAGGGTGTGGTTTTTAAATTTTTAATAATCTTTCATTACTAGCCTACGGGGGGCCAATAAAGTCAAATTTCAATTGACAGGACAATTTTGAACAAGTAATTACTATTTATAATTTTAAAAGTGCACTTACGTCTTTTTACTAGTTTTTTTTGTGCACTTACGTCTTTTTAAAATTAAACATCGCCTGCACTTACGTCTTTTTAAAATTAAACATCGAGTGCAGTTACGTCTTTTTAAAATTAAACATCGCCTGCACTTACGTCTTTTTAAAATTAAACATCGAGTGCAGTTACGTCTTTTTAAAATTAAACATCGACTGCACTTACGTCTTTTTAGAATGAGTGCGACGAAATGCAAATTTTTTCAAATTCGTTTTTCTGCATTTGATAGCTTAACTTTTCAGAAAAATTACAAAAATAAGAAAGAGTAGAAATCCTTATGAATGAAGATATCCATCGTGTTTCAACTACCTAATATTTTCTATAAAGATGAATTTGTAAACGATTTTGAGCTCTTTTTGTACCAATCTTTAATAATTCGTATGACATGTCTAAAAAATAAAAAAAGAAAAGAAATCTTAGCAATGATACCAGAAATATGGCCAAAGCGCAACTGTACCACCTTTAAGTTGCCCACCCTTTATTAAAAGTTTATCACATATATTGGCAGCAAATTTTATGTACGTGTATATGTAATATTAATACCAAACGGTAACAACTTCACGAATTTGGGAATCTGAGATTTTTCCCAGGTAGCGACCCGCTATAGTAACTGGTCGCAACTAGTGATTAGTGATTATTGCATCCTACCAAAACTTGGCACATCACAACACTAGACACATTTATAAATACCATGGCATAAATATGCATAAATCTGGATACGCGACGTGCATAAATATTTGTATGTATGCACATTATTTACCATCTTTCAAACGAATGCCAAATTTTGCAAGTTCGTATTGTTTGCTTTTTACATAAGGTTTCAGTCTTCGTCTATTTATAAATATGTCCTCGTTGCGTAAGATGGATATTATACACCCACGACTACGTGTGTATGTACTCTACACTGATTACTCAAGTGCATAGGGATCACATCGCAAATACAAAATATTTGCACAATGTGCAATTGACGTCGAGCAGGGTTACATAATAATTATAATTCGTCACTAACGATGCATATGAACAAATTTAAGGTTGATGTCACAATTTTAAATATTAAAGAAAACATACATAACACGGTTAACCTGGTTAAAAGGTTTTACTAAAAATTAAGGACTTAATGCATCATTTAATTACTTAAAAGTGGAATGTCTTATTTAGTGCATTCTACAGTCGAGTACTCATACTTATGTATGTATATACGTAAACTTAAGCGTGTATAAGTATGTTAATCATGAAGGAGGAACACGAAGTAGGCTGCCACGTGACCAAAAATTGCCAATCCTTAGAACATAAATCCGTTGGGTTTTCTTAATTTACGACCCGGCGAAGCCAAGGAAACCCCGAACTCATGAACACGTGGTCGGGTCGGGATGTCCATTTCTTTAAATTGGTCCTCTGGAATTAAGAAAGGGTCAAAAATAGGAAAGGGTTGAAGTCGACGAGAAAAATAAATCCCTGGAAATTTCTCTTGAATTTGCTGCCGAAGAAAAATAGGATAATCGAATATATGTAATGCCAATAATATCAAATTGGAAGTAAATATTTAATCTGTATTTAGGCCGGTTGCATAATACACATTTAGTTTTTATTCTCATACATAGTAAGCAGGTAACTTGAGAAGAATTGCGATTAATAGTGTAAAAGTAATAATCAAACCGAGTCTAAAAAACACACTTGTACTTTGTACATCACTCGAGCATGAAAATTACTACAATAAAATAAACCGAGAATAAAATAATACGGAAAACGAAACGCTCCTTTATATCTCAAGGCAATGAATTCGACTGTAATGTGTGACCAATCCTTGGAACCTGGCAAACTGTTTCTTGCAAAAGTAACACTCTCGCCAATTCGCAACATTGTGACGTCTCACGTGCAGAGTTAAATTAGCTTTCGTGTGAGTCTTGTACTCACATTTGTCGCAGGAATGAGTCTTCTCCTTTTTCGCAGGGTGTACCGCCTCCACGTAACCCTTTACTTGCGATGTTCTCGCGAAAATCTTGTCACAAAATAGGCACGGAAAATTCCTCTGATTTTCATGCACAACTCGAATGTGGCGTAGAAGATCAGCTCTACGTAAGAAGGTCTGAGGACAGACGTGACACTTTGACCTGGCTCGGGTAGATTTCTCCAAATGCGTCATCTGTAAAATGAATTTGTGTATTGATTATTTTTCAAAAATTTTTCGCACGTGTTTTTGTTACCTCGTGACTTTTCACGTGCGATCTCCGGGCGAAACTCCTCGCACAAGTGGCACAATTGTACGGCTTCTCCGTTGTGTGCGTGAGAATGTGTCTGCTAAGGTTACCTCTTGTTTTAAATTCATTTCCGCAAAGTGTGCAAGGAAATCGAACCGGATTCTCGGCGTGTTCAGTTTTCACGTGGTGCGAAATTTGTCTCTTGTTTTGGTAGGTTTTCTCACTGCCTAGGAACGTGCATGGGAAACGAGGTCGCTCACTCGTGCCGTGGATAACTGCAATGTGCCTTCGGAAGTTTCTGGGTTCGAAGAATACCCGATGGCAAATGTCACAGCTTGGGCTTTTCCGGTGAGTGTGAAGTCTCGACACGTGGGAAGATAATCCACGTGGATTTAAAATTTTCCCGCCAACCTGAATAATACGTTCATACGTAAATTAACGATACTCAAGGGTAAAGATTATGTGGGTAGAAATCGTTCACGATTATAAACTGGAACTCGGGTCAATTGGGGTAAGGTTTAATTGTACTCGGAAAGAAAATACGCACGTCCATTTTAAATTGATTCTTTTTAAAAATTTCTTGGAAACGACGAGAGTATTTTAATCGAATATAATCCGAATAATTGTATATGTGGAGTGGACAAGCAATTATCTATACACTCACCTGGCATTTCACTTTATCGTCTGGATCATGCGTGGCGTGATGATTGGCCTTTATTTCTAACATTTTGGAGCCCGTGGTACCTTCGGATTTTGTCACTGACTTATTATCCATCTATTTAGACTCAAATTTACGGAAGTTTTGGAACGTATAGATTTCCAATCGTTAATAATGCGTTAGATTTGTCGCAACCAATTTGTCTTTACTAAACTTTTAGCAATATTTTTTGTAGTTGGTACATATGTATATTTATTACAACTCTCTTAGAAATTATCCTCTTGTCTTGTTTGGGATCGTTCAACTACGAAATATTTCGGAGAATATCATGGTGTTTTCATAATATGTATGTAGTCAGAAAAAGGTTGAATTGTTCAACCACAATCATATCTTCAGAAATTAAATTTATTTCGAGTTGGACAAAAATAATCATAATTTACATATGTATTATTATCGATAAAGACGTATGCATATATAAAGCTGGGGTCGATTTTCTGGGAATTGCCAGTATCTACACAAAAATGACGCACCGGTTCATGCTAAAATTAGCATAGTAAGCACGCGATCCTTGAGAGGGATATTTCTTAATGCGAGCCTTCATGAGTCATTCTTCGTATCAACGCGAAGGGATGATTCATGAAGGCTCTTCGCCTTAAAGCAAAACTTTATTTACTTATTACAAATATGTAAATATACAACTGACTCTTTTCAGGGAAGGGTTTTGAACATAAGTAGATGACATATAAGTAGCCTAAATATGTACATATTTGTACACACGTAAGTATGTATGTACATACATATGTACAGGGATGAATATACATTTTGTTATCGTACAACAACATTTTTAAGTATTGATTGTTGAGCTAACGCATCTATCTACGTGAGGAAACGACAGTGGCTAAATAATGTAAAATGGCAATTGGTAGTAGAGTATAGTAATGTACGTAATAGCAATAAAATAGCAACATTTATACGGAAAGTACGTACATGTATATACGTGCATAGGTATTGTGTCACACAATACAGATGTACACACATATGTATGTATGTTAACAGACACAATTTGTGTCTGCATAAGCATAAATGAATTGTAAATACAAAATTTTACAAAATATTGCTTATCAAGATAATGCTGTTTGAAAGTGCCATCTGTAAATATGCTTGTACTGTACATGCGGTTGATTTCAGATAACGTCTGACATATCTCGACAGTTTATTTAATTGCTCGTTATTACGAGATCAGTAAGAGTGACACGGTCAAGCTCAAACAGTGGTCAAGGACCGTAAGTGAGGTCAAGTGATCGATGAAATTGCTGCCAAATCGTATCTTTAGAGGCTGAAATGACCTCGAAATCCTCTTCGCTTCCGACCTTCTTCCAAATCCTTCCATATTTTTCCACTTTTCTGTCAACTGTGACGATTTCAGGTTGACATTGCCCATCGAGGCGAGATCTAGTCCAACCGTCATGAGAAAGTCGATTAGGAGCATGACGAAAAAGGACAATCCGGCGATCGAGATTGTGCTGTGCATTCGGATGCAGACGTACAACGAGAAGACGATCCCGTTCGATGCGACGGCGTAAACTCCGGGGATAAAGAGATTCTTGAAGACAACGTCGATCTGCTTGACTAGAATTTGACATTGAGAATAAATCCGGAAGGATTTCTTGATGAAGTTTTCCTTAATCCGGGGCGTCACAAATGCTTTAATTCGAATCCGGGTAGTTTGGCTGTATTATTTCAAAAAAATTAAAGCATACATTAGGTTTAAATAGTGCATACAGACAAATATTTAAGGAACGCATTGATGTAAGCTTTACTGAATTAGTCCAGTCGAAATTAAAGAAAATTCCCTTAAGGTCCCTATCATGCTATCATGGCGTCATCAGGGTGCAAACAATCCTATTCTTTATTTAGTTGTCCTAGTGATATTTTTAATTACTCAAGAACAAATTTAGATTGGTTGCACGACCTCATGACGACATGAACTATAAGCAGAAGATCTTTAAATTAGATTAGGATATGAAATTACCTTCCAATCACTCCCAGATATTCCTGCAAGGAACACCCAAAGCCGAGCAGATAGTTACCAATCATAAGGGCGGCCGGTTGGGCGACATGAAAGTACATGAACGCATCAAATAAAATCCCAATCAGTGCGATAACATCTAATCCAGCGTGTGGAGACGTTGGAAGTAGACAGACGCTTCTCATGGATCCGATATACGGCGGTGTGCATGGATTACGGAATAATTGGAGGGGTACGACTATTCCAAACGATGCACAGGAAACGGTACCCATTACGAAAACCATTTTTGCGAAGGTCGCCCCTTTACGAATTTTTGTATCGAGGATAGGAAATTCTGAAAATTTTAAAAACTTACCAATTAAAATCGTACTACTTTAGACAATAAGTTTCATCAGGTCAACATTTTTGAGACAAATTCACTCATTCCTTTGCAAAATAATGTGCAAAATCAATGCAATTGGTAACTAAATATGTAAATAAATGCAAATGGATTTATGTTGCATATTTTGCAATATGCTGAATGTCCTGTAGAAAATCTCAACATTTGCATCTGTCTACATTTTCAATAGACTTTTAACCTGATTTCCTATTTTTGCAAAAATTTGCATAATATTTGTAGCATTATAGTCTGCCCTATGTCCAATTAAGCACTGTGAATGTTCACATTACAATAAGTTTTCGAAATTTCTCACCATTTAAAAATTTTCTTTCGAAATGTAGAAATCCATTGAGCAAGAGCAATCCTTCCTTTTCCCAAACATAATAAGTAATCCGACACACGATACAAATACTGTACGTAATAATCACCACAACTGCTTTCAAGATATCCGGAAGCGGTATTTTGTCACGATTAAGCCCCAGGTGTGCACACATGGCGAAAAGATAAACCACGTGAAGGAACAGGGTCACCTTGTAGATCCGCTTCGATTTGGGGTCGATAATTTGCATAGTATCTGACACGTCGTCGTATTTGTAGGGAATCGCGTAACACAAATTGTTCAACTTCATGCCGATTATGTTATATGTAAAGTAAGACTGACCCTTGGAAAACATGCTTTTTCTCAAATTGTTAAACAGAAGTAATCTAGAGTTAAATTAATTATCTCAACTTTAATTACTGCAAGTGTGGCTTCTCAATTCCTTGTTTTGTTTAAATGCCACTTTTTAAGCACTTATGTACACGTATGAAAATTATTGATAAAATGATTACGTCGAAATAAGCTGCAACTTTAGACCTTTAAGAACTGACAAGGAGAGGTATGGTTTGCTCGAATTTCTAATAATAAGGCCAATAATTTAAATCGTGTTGCATTTATATAAAGATATTTTCGATCAGGAAGTATACATTTGTCATGTAAAAAGTCGATACTGGACAAGCTGTAACAGGTAATTTTTGCATTTAGTGGCATTTAATGGAATTTTATGGCAATTTCAAGGTGCTGCAATTAATGAACGTATTACGCTGCCAAGGTTACTCAAAAATTGTAATTTTTAGCCTCCTGGGTATCTATTTGTACATACATATATAGCGACAAGATAGTTTTACATTTCTTGTCAATATTGCTGCTCTAGATTACAAACTTTATAATAAACGTTCAATTAACTAGAATATTCGAGCGCCGTTCAGTCAAATTAAATAATTACCTTGTTAATTTAACCGATATTTAGCAGCGTGTCCAATTAATTAAATACTATTTTTACTAATTACAATTTTTATCTTGAAAACAATTTCTAAATTTGCTCTAAATAAAACCAAATTAATTACAGGCTGGTCTACCATGAATTATGTACATACCGATGATTTTATCGTAAAAAATAACCATAATTTTAGCTAGGGTATAATGAAATTGCAAAAATTTTCTAGCAGAAGTAGATTAAATAATTAAATATATGAAAAATCCTACACCCCAAACATATACTTCCGGAAACTTAGCTCTCAAAGTAGCAATTGATCCCTAAATACTTCCAACACGGGTTTTATTCGAAATATACATTTCGCAACCAGCTAAATGAACGTACACAAATTTTATTGCCGGCCAAACGATTAGTTAAATTGTACCTTGTTAAGCTTAATGTCAATCGATTTCATTCGCAATTGTGTACGAGCATTTCAATGGCAACCTTCAACCTTAAAAGATGTGGGTGGTATTTGTCTTTCTTATGTAAACGGATAATTGTGGTAATTACAGTAGTTTTATCCTCAATTTTGAGCTGATGCATTTAAATTGCAACACATTGGTTTCAATAAAAATATCCTTGACTCCAATTTTTTTTACGGATTTCGGGATCTTGGATTTTTCGCAGCTGGCGAAGAATTACAGATTCGCAATAAACTAATTTTTTTTGCAAACTATTGGTAACTTTGCAAGACTAGATATACACAATTTGCACCGTGGTTGCACATATTTTCATATACTTACGTTAAGTAAGTATATATGTAAATTTTTACAAAAACTTTATTTAATATACTCAATGTAAACGATTAAATGCTAAATTTTACCTGCAAATTTGCCTTGTTTGTTTTTGCATATGGTTTCAGGCTTCGCCTATTTATAAATATCTTCCAGATTAAACAACCCGTTGCGTAAGATTAACATTATTCGCCCACTACTACGTACACTCTAAAGAAAGTTGTAGAAATTTTCTACAAGGTTGTGTAAAATTTTGTCCAAGGTTGAGTAAAAAAGAGGATGACACAACCGTTGGACAAATTTTACTCAACTATGCTGAGTAATCCTTTTACACAACTACTGGGCGAAATTTGCTCAGCACGTTGTGGAATTTTTACTCAACTGAATGATTAAAATTTACTCTTTTGGTTGATCAAATTTTATTTGTTATGCTGATTAAAGTACAATCTTTAGCTTATTGAAATGTACTCTTTATTTCTTAGAATTTATATTCCTTATACATTTTACAAATTGTGCATTAGTAAAACAATTAATTTTAAAGATACTTGGATATATTACTTACGCAAATACTAATACATAAAACTAAAATTTTGAGACATAATCTGAAAAAAACTCTGGCTACTAATCTACTAACCTCTCTGGCTGCGGTCCTAAATTTAAATATGTGACCAATTGATGGAAATATTTCAGCAAACGTTGATCCAGCGGACTTCCCAGCAACTTTAAAAATCCTATTTTTAACATCATTTCCTGTAAAAAATAAGCACAAATAAATATTTTAATTTAACTATTAGCATGTTATTAAATGTCCAAAAAAACTAAATAAAAATACCTTACCTTTGCACTTACACAGCTGTATATTGAACTTAGTTGGCAATTTAAAGAATTCCAATCGTTGGGTAATTTTTGGTAAATTTCAAAAAAGAGAATACATTTACTGATGTTTCGTCTGTGACTCGAGTTCCCAACTGGTGGCATGACGTGGCTGATAGCGCCACCAAGTGGGCAGACTAGGTTTACTCAAATGTTGAGTAAAAATTGATCAACTCTTTGGCATTTTTCACCCAACATTGATTAGTTTTATATTTAATCAACAAAAAAGTCAAATTTTGCTCAAGGTTGGCTAAAACCTGCTTTACTCAACTTTGTTGTGTAAATTTTACACTTATAAAGTTTAAACTTTGTCCAATGTTGTGAAAAATTTGACCAACCTCATTTTACTCAACTAGTTTTACTCAACTTTATTTAGAGTGTACTCCAGACAGAAGCGTAGGGATCACTTCGTAAATACAAAATATTTGCACAATGTGCAATTTGACATTGACCATTGACGTCGAACAGGTTTACATCATAACTGCAGTGCGTCACTAATAATGCATATTTACAGAGGGTTGATGTCAGAATTTTAATTGTTGAATAAAATCCACCATGGGTAACCAATTGAAAAGGAAAGGTTTATACTAAAAATCAAAGAATTTAGGAAACATATTCTCAAAAGTGGAATGCCACATATTTACATAGGTATATGTATAAATATGTAGTATACACAATAGTGTATACTATCGGCGATAAATACATACGCACTGTAATTATGGAGAAGTAAATATAAACAATCAAATAAAAACTATAAAATTAAAGTATTTAATTTTTTAAATAAGACGAAATGGAGCTATGCGTCTTATGCATAAAATTAAGGAGATGCGTTTACTCCGATATTTCCCTGGTAAATTAGTCCATTTCGCTGGAAATTTTGAGGTAAAACCATTTCCTTAATGTTGATGCATTGGTGGCATGGGAACTTTGTATATTAGCAAACATATTTATGATCATGTTTATGCATTTCGTTATTAAGTCATTCAAGTCATATGAATAATAAACACAAATATCGAAATACATGCATTTAAGCTTAAATATCACAATATTTAATATAATTACTAATTAGTGTCGTAAATAATATAAAGCATTATAAACACATCTGTGTAGATAAATAAATATTAAATACAAGTAGGTAATAAAATATGATTAGATTAAATAGTATACAAATCTAGAAAATGTTCATATTTTGCATGGACTCTTCCAGTTCTGAAGTACGGGAGGATTTTGGACACCTTCCATCGGATGTGGCTGTTTGGAAAAATATCACGTTATTAAAAATATGAAGTTAAAATTATGTCATTGAGTCTCAAGTTATCAATTTTTTATGGATTTCTTCTTACCAGAATCGTTCAGAAACAACAAGTCGTATGGATAGCTTGACCTGGAGTCTTGCGACGAGGTACGAGGACGGATCTCAAACATGCCACGTGGAAAGCAATATACGTTCCCAACCTAAAAAGCAACCCAGAAATGTTTTAAAGTTTTAATTTTTATACAAAATTTTTCTAAAATTCGCATCACAATCTGTCACTTCATTTGAACTCGATCAATTAAATAGATAAATACCTGATAAATACTTTTAGCCACGTGGTAAAAGTTCCCGGTCGCAATGGCCACCATAACTGTCTCCCCGTCGTCCTGCGTGAGCATGACGCGAAGATATGGCGTTGGTCGGGCAGATTGTTGGAAAACTCCCTCCTCCATCCAGCAAACTTCGGCGAGGAAAGTGCATCTGAAGTAATAATTTTAAAATGAATACTTATTTAGTATTTATGTAATGACGAATGTATTGAATTTGTCTAAAATTACAAGATAACGAACTTATACATATATATATTTTGAATGAAAATAATTAAAATAAATCACTTACTCTAAACGTCCAACATGGTTTGCTTGGTGAAAGGTGAAAATAGCGTCCATTTCGGAGTTAAATTATTCTCTAACTTTAATTTCACAAATTTATGTAGAATATTTATGTATGTAGGTGTTAAATATTTAAGTTTCGTTAAGTTTTTTAAAATGTTTTATGAGTTATGTAAATTTACTTATTAAGTTAAGTGACGTTAAAAAGGTTGAGATATTTAAAGTGCAGAACACAGAATAGTAATGAGAACTGAACTCGAGAAACATTCGCATTATGAAGGCTTGGCCAGTGGTAAAGGGTTTTCATTCAACCATTCAACCCTTCAACGCTGAAAATAAAATTCTTAGAAATATTTACCTCTCCCTTTTTGGTTTGGTGAAAAATTGTGGAATGCAACGTGCAACGAATGAGTAGCCTGGATTAAAAATAAATGTAGTATTTTTCCAGTATGATGTTAACAAAAATAGTTTAATGAGCATAAGAGGATTAACAGACAACAACGAGGTATGTATATTCGCATAAGAATCCAGTTTGGGAAATATTCAAACGATACTTATTTATGTATAAGCACATATCCAGTTACTTTTCAGATTTGTTACTAGAATTAAATAGTTATACAACAACAAATTTTGCCAAATGTCACAAATTTAGCTTAAATTCGTAAATTATTGATACATGTGCTCATACATATGTATGTAAATGTATGCATACATAGATACGTACCTACATTACTATCATAAATTTTCCAAAGTATGAGCTCGTCAAGGTTTGACCAAGATGTTAAAACGGAAGAATTAATTCTGACAGAAATAACACTCATATCGCGCTGCATTGTGGCGTCTTCCGTGAGCAGCCAAATTGGCTTCGGAGTGGCTTTTGTACTCGCATTTGTCGCAGGAATGGACAATCAACTCTTTACCCGTGGGGTGTCTCCGCTCCACGTGAACCTTCAAGTTATGCTGGAGAATCTCTTGTCGCAAAATGGGCACGAATAATTTCTCTGATTTTCATGAAAATGAGATCAGATCATAGGGGGCTAGTATTAAAATCTGCAGTAAATGTATATAATGAATAGGCTCTATCGGTGTCACACATACCTACCAAAGGGAGGGCAGCTCGCTGATAACGATTTTGACCTTTAATATCTTTGGCACTTTTAGTAATTTCAACTTGAAACTTCGCGACTTGATAGGCACTAGAGTTGGCATTATAGATGCAAAATTTCAATTCTCTAGTGTAAGAAGCAGACCTTCAACTAACCGCAAAGTAAAACACTGGTGATTTTTTTTGTTCCAGACACTAATTACCCTATGGAAGCACATTGAGCAGTTTTTGATAAGCTTCAAATGTCGAGAAATAGCAAATTATGTGACCCCATGTCTGTAGTACACAACGCAGTTTAAATTTTGATAAAAAAATAACTGGGTAGAGTTTCAGCGTAAAAGTTATAGCAGCCCCCAAACTCTCAAAATGTCGCTAATTTTTTCCAACTAACTGCATAACACGAAATTAAATATTTGTACTCCAAAATCTGGTTGTATTGCCATCAGTAATGTCTCCTCTAACTGCTAAATTAATAAACATGCAACAATTTCAACTATTGAGATTTATAAAATTCCATTTAACACACAAAAATACGTTACTCACGCTTTTTTTGTACAAATCCACCTGGTATGGAATAAGTTAACAAAGTTTTAAGAGATTTTGAGTTGCTTATGAAAGCCACATGGATGACAAAAATTTTGATACCACCCACATCAAATTCTATGAACAATTCACAATTCTAGAGTGTTTTAAAAATATTCTGAAATTTAAAAAAATGCAGTTTTGGAAACGCTTTGGAACAGAAACATTTTTTCGTATGCATATATCTCTGGTGCCATTTGCACTAGCGAATTGAAATTTTACACGCATAATGTTCACTATAAGGTCAGCAAATTGAAAAAATTTCAATTCAAAATTACTAATAGCGCCAAAGATATTAATGGTCAAAATCGTTATCAGGGAGACGCTCCCTTTGGTACATAGTATGTATATGTACCTGGTGAGAAGCTTGCATATTCTCGTAGAAAATTTATTATTTAAACTAAATATTCATTATTTTTAAATTTATGTCACCAGAAATATGTTAAGTCATAAGATTAATTTTGAATTTTTGAGAGGAGTTTCGCCCACAGGAAGATTTAGCCAAAGAATTCAGATTCTAGAAAATTTATCACTTTACTTCATGTCTCAAGCTTTATCTTTTTAACTATTTGATTTTGAGTTTGACAGCCAAATCTGAGCAAATTTTGAACCAATAAAGGGCTCCTTTAAAAAATTATCACTGAATATCTGTATATCCTGTGAATTCATGCTTTATCTCTTTAAAACTTAATGACTTATGACTTAATGACTTAATAAAACTTAAATCTTTAAAACTTAATGTATTTATGTAGATCGCTACATTTGATCAGACGAGTTATAAATCCTTCGATGCAATAGATGAGCATTTTCTAAGTTTGGAAATAAAATGTAATTTTATTTTATTATGTACTTTAACTCGTAACCTTTACATACATATATACACAATATTGTGCTTTATGATGTTATTAATTAATTATTAATTGTAAGTATTTATGCTTATTGAATTATTTACATACGTAATACAATATTTGTACTAATTAATGATACGACTTCATAATAAAATACATACATACATACGTAATGCTAGTAAACAAATTAGTATAAACCGATACACTCTGAATTTAAAAAGAACCAAAATTTGCCCAGTGGTTGAATAAATGAAATGACAACTGCGTAAAATTTATCTAATTGTGGTCACAACAAATTTGTACAAAATTTATCCCCATGGTGGGTCTATACCCACCACGTTTATCCAACCGTTGGAAAAGGAGTATTCGGAAATATAATATTTCTAATATTCTAGCGAATTAAGAACTTGTCCAGTAACTAAAATCCCATGGTTCTCAACGAAACGGCTTTTGCCAAATATCGACAATTTCGTAAAATTTATTAAATTACCATTCTTGATATGCCCATTAAATAGATAAGTATTTTGACTTTTCCAAAGTGTGAACTCGACAATGTCTGGCCAATGCTTGAAAAGCGACGAATTTTTTCACACAGAAGTAACATTTATGCCTCACGGCATTGTGTCGTCTTCGGTGAGCGGCCAAATAACCTTTCGAGTGGGTTCTGTACTTGCATTTGTCGCAGGAATAGATCTTCTCTTTATTCGTGGCATGTCGCGCCTCCACGTGACGCTTCAAGTTCCCTGAGTTTGAGCACCTCTTATCACACAATGTGCACGCGTAATTCCTCTCATTTTCATGCACAATTCGGATGTGGCGTTGTAAGGTAATCCTGCTTAAGAAGGTCTGAGGACAGATGTGGCAGTTTGACACGTCTCGGGCCGATTTGCTCAAATGTCTTATCTGTAAAATTAATATGCAATTTTTGATCTCGCTTTTCCCACAATAAATACACATGGTTATTTATATACCTCGTGACGCGTCTTCCCACATTTCTCGGAAAAGCTCTTCTCACACGTGGCACAATTGAAGGTCTTCTCCGTCGTCTGGGTGGATATGTGACGCCCAAGGTGAGAACTCGATTTAAATTCTTGTCTGCAAAGCGTGCAGGGAAATCTGGGATTCTGGGCATGCTCAGTCTTCATGTGTCTCGTAAAATCGCTCTTGCGTAGGTAGGTTTTGTCACAGTTGGGAAATCTACATGGGAAACGGGGTCGTTCCTTCGTGCTGTGGACGGCTTTAATATGGTTCCGTAAGTTGGTCGCGTTTGAAAACACCTGATGACACGTGTCACAGGTTGGTCGCTTCCGGTTAGTGTGAAGCCTCCACTTGTGGGAAGATAAGGCGTGTCTGTTTTTGCAAGTAATGCCGCAAATCTAAGACGAAAAGGGGAAAATGTGGATGTTAAAATTGGCATCACTTTTGCAAATTTGCTCCCTCACCTCGCATTTGACCTTGGCGTCGGGATCGGTGTGTTTCGTCAATTCGGTATCCGTTGTTAACATTTTTGAGCGATCCCACTTTTTTCAGATCCACTTTGAATTAGTCGTTTGTTAAGTTTGGAGCACCAAGTGCTTAACCAAATTCAATTTAGTATCTGTAAGGAAATAGCTTTCAACAATTCACGCATTTTAATGCAAAGCATTAACGAGCATAAGCACATTCCTAGAAATTTTTATGTAGCTATAATAATATTTATTATAACAACAAAAAATCGATTTTGCATTTCTTAGGTATTCATGTTAGGTACATTGTTAAATGTCTTAAACATAGTGTCTTACCGTGCGTGATGTAAACTTATGCTTGAGGGAAGTATCTAAGTGAACTAAAGTAAATAGTATATAAATGGCTAATGCTAAATTAAATGTTCGTTCGTGTCACGTGAAAAAGGTTGCATTTTTAACATAGCAAGGAGTAAAACTTGACAAATTCCTGCATAAAAATAACCAGACATTTGCCCCTATGGAACATACAGACATAACTTGGAGGACAACCCTTCACCGACAGAATCATCGATCCTGATGCCCTTTGGATATGTTGTGGTACTAGGTGAGTCCAGCAAAAGTGAAGAAGGATTTCATTCCATGGCCCCATTTGCGCCCGCCACACCCACTCAAAGGTGCGAAAAACACGAAAAATACCCTGTTTTCATTCATTCAAAAAATCATCAAAAATCCAATTTTGATCGGATTTTCATAATTTAAGCGTTTTTGTGATCTTAGTAGATAGTTGCTTTATCATATCCAATAGCAAACTCAATTTTTTTAATTTTTCGAGTATTTTCGAAAATTTCCTGACCATGCCTTCGAAAAAATCAAAATTTAAGAGAAATTGAGTTTGCTGTTGGATATGATAAAGCAACTATCTAAGATCACAAAAACGCTTAAATTATGAAAATCCGATCAAAATTGGATTTTTGGTGATTTTTTGAATGAATGAAAACAGCGTATTTTTCGTGTTTTTCGCACCTTTGAGTGGGTGTGGCGGGCGCAAATGGGGCCATGGAATGAAATCCTTCTTCACTTTTGCTAGACTCACCTAGGACTACAACATATCCAAAGGGCATCAAGATCGGTGATGCTGTCGGTGAGGGGTTGTCCTCCGTCGGAGCCACCCCTAGGTGTGCATACTTTGTCTCCACGGGGATACCAAGTGACTATTTAACTGAAAAATTATCACTATTTGAGAATGTATGATGGCCAGATATAAATAACAAGACAAGGTTCGGCTCAGTCAGTGTGTGAATGTCAATCCGCTTCAGGGGTTCAATTCCTTTCACTGAAAATACATATCATCTTGGACTTCAGGGTTGACCCCTGCAAAATTGAAGATACCCAACAATTGTGTAAATTTGTTGTTGTCTCATCCTCCTTTCTTACTTAGAGACATAACCTGTGCATGTACATATGTAGGTAAATTTGACACAATTTTATTTAGATTGTACATACAATAGTTTTTGAGGGAATGTCGCAGGGTAACCTTATCAATTCCAGTGTCAATTTTAGCATGAGAGAGAGATTGAACGGATCACGGAAAATATTGGGACACGATTTTTTGGTAACGTAATTTATGCATGTACGTGTGAACCTTGGGTGGTTATTTTTATCCAAAACTTACGGGATTTTCAGCCATCGCTCACCCGCCTCGTGGCTGTTAAGAAATTTAAGAAATACAATCCATTTCCCACCACGCAAACCACCATTCTCCATTATCCAACAATCATAGCACTGTGTTTTATAGGGCCCAGACACTTTAATAAATAAATTAATCACTAAAAATAAAATTTAAATTATTTTTTAATCGGATATATTTAGTTGATTGTTACGTATTTAAGTTAAATCTGTAACCTAGCGAATGTTGTATTGATTGTTAAATTTCTAAAACCGGCCAACTTAAACATTGTCTCAATACAAACAAATTTTCCCGACTGGTTTTACCGAATGGTTAGACAAATCCAACCAATTTTTAGGTGAACAGATTCCCAATGCCTGAATCAAGATGGGCCCCAAGCCAGTGAGAAAATGGGAATGTTCCAAATGCCCTAAAATGTTCCAACTCAAGAGCAACCTCATCAGGCACGTCGCTACGCACGATAACGATGCGAGGGTGAAATGTGAGGTGAGATTTGTATTACAAAATTGATACTAATTTTACAATTCCACCATCAACCAGCGTATTTAACTAACACTGTACTCCGTTAGATTTGCGGGAAAGTTTCGAAAAATCAACCCGCCTTAAATGCTCACGTGTCAAGACTTCACTCCAACCGGGAGCGCCCAAAATGTGGCACGTGTCACCGGGTGTTTTACGACGCTCAAAATTTGCGGCAACACATCGCGGCCGCCCACAGCACGAGGGAACGACCTCGTTTCCAATGTACGTTCCCCGGCTGCGAGAAAACCTATCTACAAAAAAGATACATTTCGCAACACGTGAAAACTGAACACGCCGAGAATCCTGTCCGATTTCCGTGCACACTTTGCGGAAAGGAATTTAAAAAGCGGCAAGACCTTGAGCAACACATTCCCACGCATACGACGGAGAAACCGTACAATTGACCCACCTGTGGGAGGGGTTTCGCCAAAATGACCAAAATGAGACGTCACGAGGTAACTAAATGAACATTTCATGGGACGAACGGGGTGAAAAATTGTCTATATTCATGACCAGATTTATGGAGATAGATTATGGGCGTACTCACGGCAACTTCTTATTTCGCATCACAACTCATTTAGAAAACTTGCAAAGATCGAAATATTTCTGTCGTGAGGGGATTCGGAAAATATGACTTCGCAAATCTCTCTAATCTCGCAAATCTATGGAAAAACACCTATATTGGTATTGTTTCGATGGATTTCTTTCATTTCGCTTGCTGATGAGTTTGCGAAGTAATTTTGCGAAATAAGAACATGCCCAATTGCTGGGTAAATTTGTGAAAAAAAATCCCATGGTTTTCCAGTGAAATATTTGCGAAATCTCGCATATCTCGCAAAACTTCGCAAGGTATGTTGATATGCTCAATTTGCGAGATATGCGAGATATGCGAAGGTTGACGTGAGTACGCTCAATATTTTATTAGAAATCGCAAGCTTTCAATTTCGAGTTCGCACCGTTAGCAACGTTCGCAAAAGAATAAAATTCGCAAGTTCGCACAAAATTTTGGCTTGACAATTGATTTGCGAACTTGCGCATCTCCAGACCAAGTATTTAGTTTACAAAATATTTTTCACAAATATCGAACAAATTTGTAATGTGAAATCTCCATTGGTTGCCAAAGTTTTGCTGTTTGAAGTTTTTGAAATTTTTAATTTGAGAAATTTCAGACGTATGTAAAACTTGGGTAACTAATGGAAATTTACGAATTTTTCCCATTGCAAAATTCAAGATATTTGAAGCAAAATTTTCCAAACTTTCTAATTTGCGAGGTGTCTTCATTTTGTTGCTTCGCAAAATTCTACATTTCGAAAAAGTTATGTTGCGATGCGAACATGCGAACTCGAAATGAATACCTTCAATTACTCAATCATTTTCGTCAGGCAAGTAATTCATACGAACTCATTGCCAAAATTCATTTTACAGATGACGCATTTGGAAAAATCTATACAAAACAAGTTACAATGTGACGTCTGTCCTAAGACCTTCTTAACTAAAGATGGCCTGCAACGCCACATCCGATTTGCGCATAAAAAACAGAGGAATTTTCCGTGCTCATTTTGTGACCTGAGATTCGCGACAACATCAAGCTTAAAGGTTCACGTGGAGGCAAGGCATGTCACGAATAAGGAGCTGGTTCATTCCTGCGACAAATGCGACTACAAAACCCACTCGAAAGCCTATTTATCCACTCACCGAAAACGTCACAATTCAGCGAGATATGAATGTTACTTCTGTGCGAAGAAATTCTTCACTTTTCACGAATTGGTCAAACATTATCGAGTTCATACTCTGGAAAGGTTGGAATGCATGTAAATGGCATGTCAATAATATGCGCATTTTTCGAAATTTGCCTGGGCGTGTTGGTTCAAAAGCATTGAATTGTAGTTACAAACTGTATAAATATGTGGTAACAGGGCTGCTGTTTAAGTAAATACTTTATGTCAACCATCTATTTTGCTCTGAGAAATAAGTACATTTTTATGAGTTTCGGTCACGTAAAAACTGAAAACTATTTAACTGCACTGATTTATTTTAATTAATAAATACATTTTTAGCAAATGATAATTTTGACCTTTTTTTGTTTTAGTTACAAATGTACATATGTATGTATACATAGTTGTATATGTAGTAGGCACATATATGTTATCAATCACGTATTCATATAAATCGCTGTGTGAAAAACAGACTAGAATTTCAATATGCCGATTTATTCATACAAAGTTAATAATGCAGGTAATCGAATAAATGTACATAGGCTAAGCTTCCACGAGTTCGTACATATCTATTTACATATTTGTACAGGAATATCTATTCTAATTTTAAATAATAATCATAAATAGAAGTTTTGTAATTACTTATTTTCGATTCGATATTAAATACTAGCGTCGTTCATGCAACATTATAGTGGAAAAATACTACACTTATTAAGTAGCTTCAGCTACTTTATGTGAAGACTTTGTCTGTCTGTCTGTCTGTCTGTCTGTCTGTCTGTCTGTCCGTCTGTCTGTCAGCAGGATATCAGGAGAACGGATCGAGATAATCGAAATCGGTTTTCGCCATCATACATAGGACCCCAGGGGGAGGATCCTATCAACTTTTGGGGGCAACCGGACCACACCCCCTTTGGCGACAGGCGGTGTGGTCGGGGCAAAATGAGATTTTTAGTGCAATTTAATCTATGGGTGAAATAGAGTAAAAATTATGTGTTCCGGAGTTGTGCCACACCCCCTCGGCGCCAGGGGGTGTGGTTGGGGCAAAATGAGATTTTTAGTGCAATTTATTCTATGGGTAAAATTAAGTGAAATTGAGTGAAATTAAATGAAATTAAGTGAAATTAAGTGAAATTGAGTGTTTCCCCGATTTTGCCACACCCCCTCGGCCCCAGGGGGTGTGGTTGGGGCAAAATGAGATTTTTAGTGCAATTTAATCTATAGGTAAAATAGAGTAAAATTATGTGTTCCGGAGTTGTGCCACACCCCCTAGGCGCCAGGGGTGTGGTTGGGGCAAAATGAGATTTTTATAAAAAATTAATCTATAGATGAAATAGAGTGAAATTAAGTGTTCCCGAGTTGTTCCACACCCCCTCGTCGCCAGGGGGTGTGGTCGGGGCAAAATGAGATTTTTACAAAAAATTAATCTATAGGTGAAATAGAGTGAAATAGAGTGTTCCCGAGTTGTGGTGGGACCGTTTGGGGTGAAGTACGTCTGAAGCTACTTCCGTATGCGCGTTTGCGACGGTTTATTTTTAAACCAAAAAATGTAGTATAGATTACTTTATATAAGAAGACATGGAACTGTGTCTAATGCATCCAAATAAGGAAATGCGTTTACTCCGATATTTCCCTGGAAAATTAGTTTATTTCGCTGGAAATTTTGAAAACCATTTTCTTGTGTCTATGCATTAGTGGAATGGGAATTTTGTTTAGTAAGAAACATATTTATCAGCATACCTATGGGTATGTATTTCGTTATCAAGTCATATGAATAATAAATACAAACATTTAAATACATGTAAGCTTAAATATCACAATATTCAATGTAATTACTAATTATTGTCGTGAATAATATAAAGCATTATAAACACGATATCTGTGTAGATACATAAATAGATATTACAAATATGTAGGTAATAACATATAATTAGATTAAATAATATACAAATTTAGAAAATGTTCATATTTTGCATGGACTCTTCCAGTTCTGAAGTCTGGGATCTTGGACACCTTTTATCGGATGAGGCTGCCAGGAAAAATATCACGTTATTAAAAAGATGAAGCTAGAACTATAATTGAGTGTCGAGTGGTCAATTTGTTTTATGGAATCCATCTTACCAGAATCGTTTAGAAACCACAAGTCGTATGGATAGCTTGATGAATTTTGCGAGGTCCGAGGCCGGATCTCGAACATGCCACGTGGAAAGCAGTACACGTTCCCGACCTAAAAAGCAACCCAGAAATGTCTTAAAGTGTTGATTTTTATACAAACTTTCTCTAAAATTCCCATCACAATCCGTTACTTCATTTGAATTCGATCAATTAAATAGATGTATACCTGATAAAGACTTTTAGCCACGTGGTAAAAGTTCCCGGTCGCAATGGCCACCATAATTGTCTCCCCGTCGTCCTGTGTGAGCATGACGCGAAGGTATGGCGTCGGTCGAGCCGATTGCTCGAAAACTCCCTCCTCCATCCAACAAACTTCGGCGAGGAAGCTGGAGCTGAATTATAAATTGTTAGGGGAATAATTATTTAGTATTTATGTAATGACAAATATATTGATTTTATCTAAAATTACAAGATAACGAACTTATACATATATATATTTTGAATGAAAATAATTAAAAACCACTTACTCCAAACGTCCAACATGGTTTGCTTGGTGAAAGGTGAAAATAGTATCCATTTTAGAAGTTAAATTATTCTCTAACTTTAATTTCACAAATTTATGTAGAATATTTATGTATGTAGGTGGTAAATATTTAAGTTTGGTTAAGTTTTTTAAAGTGTTTTATGAGTTATGTAAATTTACTTATTAAGTTAAGTGACGTTAAAAAGGTTGAGATGTTTAAAGTGCAGAACACAGAATAGTAATGAGAACTGAACTCGAGAAACATTCGCATTATGAAGGATTGGCCAGTAGTAAAGGGTTTTCAACCCTTCAACGCTGAAAATAAAATTCCTGGAAATATTCACCTCTCTCTTTTTGGTTTGGTGAAAAATTGTGGAATGCAGCGTGCAACGAATGAGTAGCCTGGATTAAAAATAGATGTAGTATTTTTCCAATATGATGTTAAACAAATAAAAGTTTAATGAGCTTAAGTGCACGCATTGACAACGACGAGGTATGTACATATGTATATACTTATTTCGCATTTTGTTTAGCTTTTTCGAAATAAATGTATGTAAAATGAACATGGAAAGAACAATAATAAAAATATAGGTATTTCGCATAGGAATTTAGGTTTAGAAATGTTCCAGCGATACTTATGTATAAGCACATATCCAGCTACTTGTCAGATTCGTAACTATAATTCAATAGTTATACAATAGCAAATTTTGCCAAATGTCACAAATTTAGTTAAAATTCTCAAATTATTTAAGATAGATATATACAATGAAATAGTGTTTTTTTCATCTTCCAACGATTTTCGAGTTTGATGGCTTAAAATTTGCGTAATGTTGAGTAGATCAATAATCCGTAATAAAATTGGGGTGGCGCGCCAGCAGTTTTCGAGATCTGAGCCAAAATGTGCGAATTTTTTGCAAATTTAGGATTTTGAGTCAAACTAATCGAACTTTTGGTCAAATATCGCGGGAAATAATAATAAAAATTATTTAAGACTAGAATTTGGCCGCTGCCTCGATTTTGGACCCCAATTTTCCGATATATTGAGTTTTGCAAAATAATAGCATTTTCCATATTATCTTGCCACGATGGAATTACGGTATTTATTAGAGGTTGTTAGCGTATTGTTTAATTCTACCCAATAGTTGTTAAAATGGTTTGCCAATTGCAAAAGGAATTTAGCCAAGATTTTGCTAAAAGTTTAAAAAGAGTTGTATTCGAAATTAAAATTTAGAGCATTACATACATATATCATGTTACAACGTGTTCTTTGGATGACATTTAACTTATCAGGAATTTTGAAAGCAACACAAATTTTGCTAGGAATTCAGAATTTTGTTAACCACGCAAGATTTTGTTAATGCCGCGTCGACTTGTTTAAATGCTCACTATGTAAATACATTACTAATGGCTAATCAAATGAAATTATAATATAGATATGCTCACATATGTATGTATGTGCATTCGTACCTACCATTACTATCATAACTTTTCCAGAGTATGAGCTCCACAATGTTTGACCAAGATGTTAAAAAGGAAGAATTTATTCTGACAAAAATAACACTCATATCGCGCTGCATTGTGACGTATTCCGTGGGCAGCTAAATTGGCTTTCGAGTGGCTCCTGTACTCGCATTTCTCACAGGAATACACAATCAACTCTTTACCCGTGGGGTGTCTCCGCTCCAAGTGAACCTTCAAGTTTGTTGTGTTGGCGAATCTCTTATCACAAAATGCGCACGGATAATTTCTCTGATTTTCATGCAAAACCCGGATGTGCCCTTGTAAAGATTTTTTACTTGAGAAGGTCTGAGGACAGACGCGATACTGTAGCATGTCTCGGGCAGATTTTTCCAAATGTGTCTTCTGTAAAAATGAAGCACATTTAAAATTTTTCCCCTAATCTTTCCCAAACCATGTTTTTTTTACCTCATGCTGTGTCACGCTTGCCTTGTGGGCGAAACTCCTCCCACAAGTTGAACAATTGTACGTCTTCTCGGTCGTGTGGGAGTGAATGTGAGTCTCAAGGTGACTCCTCCTTTTGAACTTTTTTCCGCAAAGTGTGCACGGAAATCGGACCGGATTCTCGGCGTGTTCAGTACTCACGTGTTGCGAAAGACCATACCTGTTTTTGTAGATTTTCTCACATCCGGGAAATTGACATGAGAAACGGGGCCGTTCTTCAGTGTTATGCAGGGCGTGAATATGTCGTTGTAAAGTGCCATAGTGGAAAAATACCCGGTGACAAACGTCACAACTTGGTCGCTTTCGATCAGTGTGAAGGCTTGACACGTGGGCAGATAGGGCGAGTCTGTTTTTGGAAATTTTGCCGCAAATCTGGACAAGACAAAAGTATATATGTTTGTGTTGTAAAATTAGTTTCACTTCTGAAAATGTATGTACACGATTACCTCACATTTGACTTTGGCATCGGGATCGTGCCTGACGATGTGTCTCGTCAACTTGTACTTGGCTTTAAACGTTTTTAAGCACTTTGGACATTCCCATTTCTTTCCTGGCTTCAGATTCATTTGAATTAAGTATTTGTAGATTTAGTTACTTAAATATGTATATCCGTTAAAAATTGGTGTGCTTAAACAAATTTAAGCTAGTACTCCTCCTTTTCAACTTTCCATGAACCCAAAAGAGCTTCGGGGCGAGCACGTCGACGTCAAAAGAAGGCGTCCAGGCACGACGTCCAAGAATTATATTAGCCGAATCATCCGAATTATCCTATTATATCCTATTAGAAGTCATTCAATTACCCAAATTCTTGACACGAATTGAACAATTTGAACACCAAAATAAAATAAACTGGTGTTAAATAATAGGATAATTCGGCTTCTCGGCTAATATAATTCTTGGACGCCTTTTTTTGACATCGACGTGCTCGCCCCGAAGCTCTTTTGGGTTCATGGAAAGTTAAAAACGAGGAGTATCTGTAAGAAAAAATTCGGTCACACATTAACATAATGTTACAACTTCACCTATTTTAATGTGGTATGTAACGGGTTACTAGAAATTTTTATACATCTTTAAATCCCGTAACAAAAAATAAACTTTGTACTACTTAAGATAAGTTGAGTATGCATAAATTTAACACATTGCGGTAGTTGCAGCGTGTTAAATTTAGTGTCTTACCGTGTGTTTTGTATGTAGGATTATTCCTTTACGAGAAAGTGAATATCTGTATTAAAATAAGTGTTGAAAAGGTTGCGTTTTTCAACCATGGGAACTAGTCAAGACTTTACAAATTCCTGGATAAAAATAACCAAACACTTCTCGGGGGCCATAAATAAATCATGTGATTAAATTTGAAGTTTTGTAAGCAGTTCCGGCAACTGGAGGATTCGACCAAGAGTGAAAATGTTATTTAAGGGTTACATGCTTTACTTGTAGTGCATTTAAAGAAATCTACGCCGTAGATTTTCTTGTGTAATCTTTGTCCTGCGGATTTAATACATGAAATATGTAGCATCAAATTTGACTAGGTATAGCTATTTCATTAAATTGAGAGGTACAGAATACATGAGAATTTTTAAAGAAGGTTGCGAATACTCTCCTGATGCGAATAAATATATTTTAAGTAACCTTAATAAAGTTAGGGAAAATAGCGCAGATTTGTATTTTTCTATATTTGAGTCGTTTCGTCACCCTGTAACTCTCTTATAAATTCTGCAATATTTCGGCATGTTGCTAACCTCAGTCAGCATATTTTTGGTTTCTCATGATACCTGGGGTAGTGAAAGGGTTGCATATTTTATGTCACCAAGAGGTACATTCGAACATTATTGTAGTTTTTCATAAAATATCGAAGGGAAATCTATCCAATACCACTTTAATTTTAGAATCAGTGGTATAGATCACGGCAAATATTAGGTCAAGACTTTTTGGCAACGTAATTTACGTACGAACTCCCAGCCCTAGAATCGTTATTAAGTGGCGTCAGCTACTTATTGTGATCGTTTTGTCCGTCCGTCCGTCTGTCCGTCTGTAAGCAGGATATCTCCAGAACGAGTCAATATAATCAAACCCCGTTTTCGCAATTGTGCTTCTAATTTTTAGTTCTCGGTCGAGTTCGAAAATTGGGTCAATTGGACCACACCCCACAGCGCCAGGGGGTGTGGTCCAAATTAAATTTAACATTAATTTTCATATGGGGTGTCATTTTAAAGGAAATTTCACCACGAATTCAATGGCGTTAAAATTTTTGACCTCGTGACCTTGACGACGAGGTCAGAGGTCAGAAAACACATAATTTTCATTTTAACGGAAATTTGACTGCGATTTCAAGGACGTTAATATTTTTGACCTCATGACCGTTAAGACGAGGTCATGGAAACTTGAATAGCTCTGACGCTACTTATTTACATTCGTTCGGAGGGTTTATTTTTAGACAAAACTAACAGAATTTTACAGCCATTCCTTCCTCTCTTGCATGCATGCCTGGTCGCTTTAGTTGTGAAATGCAACCCTTTTCCAACCACACAAACAATCATTCGCCCTTTTCCATCCATCATAAAATTTACATATATTTACAAGCAGGTCAAAAAGAACACCAACCGAATGTTGGGGTTGAACTTTGACACTCCGCAAAAATTAGTTAATTACAAAAACTCATATTTAAAATTGTTTTTTTTTGTTCTACAAGAATCAGAAGTACATATGTACATTGTGAATTCGTTCAATTTTTACTAACGAGTTCAACATTGTCCAAGTGCAACTCAATTTGTCCCAGGTGCTTTAATTTTTTAAGTGAAACCACCTCATTTGTAGATATTCTATTAAGTGCACACATCTCCGAGGACCGAATCCAGTCCGTGAGGAAATGGGAATGTCCCAAACAGAGCTCCACGCCGCCGATTTTTCGCCGGCGCGCCGCCGACGCCGACCCGATTTGATACGCCGCCGCCGCCGAGGCGCGCCGCCGCCGCATAAACGCCGGCGCGCCGCCGAGAAAAAAGATATTTCGTACAATTAAAACCAGTTAAAACGAGAAAAAATGTCGAAATTGGTTTTAACAGTTTCGTTTGTTATTGTGATTGACATTGAGAAAATGAATAGTTTTTTCCCGATACGCATTTTTAATTAGAGATCAGTTCAAATTTTGACGCCACTTAAAGAATCGATAACGTATATTTATATATGGCAATACAGATTGAGTACATAAATAGCCTGACTTTTTGAAATTGCTGTTTCTTGAGAATCTTACATTTTGCTTAGTCCTGTGGTCTTTTTAAACTTACAATTAGAAAGATTTCAAACATTCCACTTGAATGAAAATTCAAGCAAACTTTTAAATTTTCGAATTTCCGTCAAGAAAAGAGTTACATGGCTATTAAGGCTGATGGGTTTAGTCGAGAAATATTTTTGAAATTCTGTAATGCAGAAAACTCGAATTATGACGGATTAAAAAATGGGTCGGCTTATTTTTTCGCTGAACCAATTAAAATTAGCAAGCGAAATACATTACTATGTATTAGAAAGCTAAATAAAGAGGTCAGTTATGATCACTGACTGGTAAAGTGAGGCAGAAATATCGGCGCGCCGTGGTGCGCCGCCGCCGAGGTCCAAAACGGCGCGCCGCCGCCGCCGACGATTTTCACTACTCACGCCGCCGCCGTCGATTTTTCAACGGCGTGGAGCTCTGGTCCCAAATGCTCTAATACGTTCAAAAATTAGGACACCCTCAAGAATCACGGCATCACTCATGATCCTGAAGTGAAGGTGAAATATGAGGTGAGATTTTTATTTCGAAATTGAAACTAACTGTACAACTAAATCATCCACTTGCCATTTTAGCACTCTACTTTCTTAGATTTGTGGGAAAGTTACGAAAAACCGAATTGCCTCAACTGCATGGAAAATTCACATAACCGGGAGCGGAAGAAATGTGACACTTGTCACCGAGTTTTTTTGCAACGCTGCCAGTTTGCGGAAGCACGTTGCAGCTTTCCATAACACGATGGGGCGACCCCGTTTCCCGTGTGCGTTTCCCGGATGTGGGAAAACCTACCAAACCAGGTGCGGTCTTCAAAAACACGTGAGAACTGAACACGCCGAGAATCCGGTCCGATTTCCGTGCACACTTTGCGGAAAGGACTTCAAAACGAAGTTTCAACTTGAGCACCACATTCTCACCCACACGACGGAAAAGCCGTACAATTGTGCCACTTGCGGGAGGAGGTTCGCCAACATGGGAGGCATGAAACGTCACGAGGTAAATAAGCACGTTGCAGGAGAAGCAAGGTTAAAAATATCAATGGGGGTATTCATTTTACAGGTTACGCATTTGGTAAAATCTTCCCGAGACGTGTCAAAGTGTCAACTCTGTATGCAGACTTTCTTAGATAGAGGTAATCTACGGCGCCACATCCGAGTTGTGCATGAAAACAGGAGGAATTACTCGTGCGAATTTTGTGACAAGCAATTCTCTAACGCGTCAAACTTCCAGCGTCACGTGGAGGCGCGACACCCCGCGAATACCGAGGTGATCCATTCCTGCGACAAATGCGAGTACAAGAGCCACTCGAAAGCCTATTTGGCCAGTCATGCAAGCCGACACCTAACACCTAGTCGCGAATGTTACTTCTGTGGGAAGAAATTTTGTACTTTTCGCCAATTAGTCAGCCATTTTCGAGTTCATACTCGAGAAAAGATAAAATACTTGTGTATCTAATCTACGTAATAGGATTACAATAATTTTCGATTTTTTGTGAGCCTTTTCGTAGCAAAGCAGGGGATTTTGGTAGTAAGTTATTATGTATTAATTGGGCATTTCTTATTAAAATATTTCGCAAACTGTATTCCTATTCGGAATACTAATACAGATCTGTATCCGCAAATATATTCCGGAAATCTGATTTTGTGAGTATTTCCATTGAAACGCGTTAAGCTTGCGTAAAAACTACGTGCTTTTTTCTTAGTGAGGCAAATACCTATATAGCAACGAAAAAAATTTGCTAAGTATGCATTTACCCCACCCCAAAAAAGTGACCACCTACGATATATCAGTCATTTCTCAACCGATTTTGATGAAATTTTGCACAGATCATTGTTACTGTATTTAGAAAAGACCTGCGAACCGGTTTAGCAAATTTTTGATTTTTACGCGAGTTATAAGCAAAAATGTTCTCTTGGAAGCACATTTTGATTTTTAGTTAATTTCTGGAGCATAATATGTCAGATATTAGTTGCAAACATTTTACAGCTGCTTATTCTTCAAATTTTTATATATGTAAATATGATCAAAATCGGCTCATAAATGACATAGATAATCCAGATTGAAAACTGAAAAATGGATAAAAATTAAGCAGTTGTAAAAACTTAAATGCCATTGGCAACAACATATAAAGATAACTCAATAACAAGTATTAAATAAACAAGCCCCCAAAAAGGGAAATCTTAGTGAGGCTTGATGCAACTATCAATATTAAATACATTTTTTGGAACAGCATTTGCATCGCTGCTCTCAACACTATCTTCAGTTATATAAAGTAATATTGAGAGCGGTGTTGCAAATTCTGTTCCAAAAAATGTATTTAATATTGATAGTTGCATCAAGCCTCACTAAGATTTCCCTTTTGGGGGCTTGTTTTAGTGTCTCCACTCATACATAAGTTGCTGAGGACATGTTAAAATTTAAAATTTTGCAAATAAGAAGAATTTTGGTTGGGCACTATAAACTTGACACAAGAAGATAGATACATATGTATGTACATAACTGTACATAATTAATGTTATGAAACAAAGTGTGGTATGGTCCGCTCATAAAACATCGGGTTGATCCTTATTTTATGCATAAGCCCCGAAGTAAAAATTCTATGCAGGTGGAAACATTTTATCTCATGTAAAAAATGGTGGGCTAAGGGCCGCTTATAAAGCATGCGACCCATTTTACCTGAATTTTGTCAACGCGCATGAATTTGAGATATGAATTTAAGTAATTTTATAGTTGGAGTGCTCTATTTTGTTCAAGAATACAGACATAGTATTTCAAATAAAAAATAACTGCTAAAGTAAATAAGTTTTTGAAGAAAGAAATCCCAATTTAATTAATCACATGCAATTCCGAAAGGAAAATGGAACAGAAACGTTGAGGTAACAACATAGGGTAGGAAATTATCACTATTCAAGAATGGGTGGGGGTTAGACATAAATAGTTTGAGAAGTTTTGCCTCCGTACATGTTTGCAAACCCTGCTTGGAGCTTAAAGTCTAACTCTAGTAATTTCTTGAGGAACGTCATGTGCAGTGAAATCTTACCAGTGCCGTGTCAATTTAAGCAAAGAAGATAAATGCATACAGATCCTAGCCAACATTAAATCAAAATTTTTCGGTGACGTAATAAACGTACAAACCCCAAGCTTGGGTCCTGATTTATTTTTACCCGAGTCTAACGGATTTGTTTTTCACTCATTTCTTCCTCGTTTGCATGCCTCGTGGCTATGGTTGAAAAATACAATGCTTTCCAACCACACGTCAACCTACCATCATTCACCATCACAGATACCACTTATGTACATAAAATCAGTCATAAACAGCTTAAGCGTTTAAAGTTTAACACTATTAGAAATAAGTTTATTGCTAAAATGTTTGAAAACTGTTTTTTCTTTTAAATCGAAAGTGTCTATATACGCAGTGGAATGATTCAAGTAGAATCTATTCCTATAAATTAATTTTCCCCAATGTCTTTGATTGGTGAGATAAATTCCGACCATTTTTAAATAGTTCTAAACGTGCGTCGATTCCCAAAGACCGAACCCAGATGGATCCCCAGCCAGCAAACCAATGGGCATGTTCCAAATGTCCTAAAACGCTCAAAACCAAGCACACCCTATGTTTCACGTTATCAGGCACGATCAAGACGCAAAGGTGAAATGTGAGGTGAGATTTTCATGCCAAAATAAAAACCAGTCTTAAAGCCTGCATTTTTGCACAACTGCCTTGTCCAGGTGTGCGGAAAAATTTCCAAACACAGATGCGCCTTATCTGCCCACATGCGGAAGCAGCACAGCAACCGGAAGAGACTTAGCTGTGATACTTGTCATCGGTTGTTTTCCACTTCTGACACTTTACGGCAGCATATTCGCGATGTCCACGGCACGATGGAACGACCTCGTTTCCCATGCACAGTTCCCAGCTGTGGGAAAACCTACCAGCACATGCGTGGCGTTTGGCAACACGTGAAACTTGAACACGCCGAGAATCCTGTCCGATACCCTTGCACACTTTGCGGCAAAGAATTCAAAAGGAAGGATGAACTTGAGCTACACATTCCCACCCACACGACGGAGAAGCCATATAATTGTGCCACTTGTGGGAGGAGTTTCGCCCACGTGGGAGGCATGAAACGTCACGAGGTAAGCAGACATGTGAGAAAAACTAGGTGAAAAATTGCGAATGTGCATATTCATTTTACAGATTACGCACTCGGAAAAATCTACACGAGAAGTGTTAAAGTGTCACCTCTGTCCTCAGACCTTATTAACTAGACGTGGTCTTCGATCGCACGTTCAATTTGTACATGAAAATCGGAGGGATTATCCTTGCGCATTTTGTGAAAAGAGATTTGCAACAAGATCAGATTTGAAGCGCCATGTGGAGGCGAGACATGCTGTGAAGAAGGAGCCGGCCTATTCCTGCGACAAATGCGAGTACAAGAGCCGTTCGGAGGCTTTGTTTTTTAATCGATAGCTCAACTCAATGTGAACATTTTGATATCTTGTTCAGTTCTCTACGATTTTTTTGAAGAAAGTCATGAATTTTTGAAAAAGCGAATTTTGAAAAGTTTAACATTGCGCTTATGGGAGAATTTGGTAAAATCCGCAAAATTCGCTTTTTTCAAAAATTCATGACTTTCTTCAAAAAAATCGTAGAGAACTGAACAAGATATCGAAATGTTCACATTGAGTTGAACTATCGATTAAAAAACAAAGCCTCCAAGAAAAAAAATCACGGTAAGATTTGAGAAATGAGCTTTTGGGTCAAAAATTGTGACCTTTGACCTTTTTGAGATTTTTCAAAAACAGGAACGGCATTCAACGACAATCTTTCTGGGGTACTACCTTGCAAATTTTCAAACCCTGATTTTCGTCAATGTGCGATATAGAATAGTTTTTCTATCGTACAATTTAATTTGCTCGCCACTGTATTTACTGTGAATCGCGTTAGGCTTGCGTAAAATTGAAAACTACTTATGTCTCCACTACTGGGAGGTTGTAAGTTGCTCAGTACATGCTGGAATTTAAAAGTTTGCAAATACACAGATATGTACATATCTACATAACTGTACATATTTGATGTTATGCAAGAAAGTTGGGTATCATATCTATTTAAAAGGTATATGTAAAAAATGTTTGGCTAAGGATCGCTCCATATAAGGCATGTGGTCGAGTTTAGAAGAATGTTGTCTACACATAAATTTGAGTTATGCATTGAAGTCTAAAATTGTTTAAATTTTAAGCAATTTTATAAGTGGGATTATCTATATTCTATTGTACAAGAATATATATTTCAAATAAAAAATAACTGCTAAAGTAAGTTTTTAAAGCAAAAATCCACACTTGATTAATCCCATGCTGCTCAGAAGTGAAGTTGGAACAGACGTATGTAGAACTGTGAAAAGGTAAATTTGATCTCACAATGAGGTTATCTCCTAATAACTGTGTAAATACGTGGAAAATTATCACTACTAAAGATTGAATGGGGGTCATACATAAACGATTGAAGAAGTTTTGGCTCACTACATATGCACGGAAGTTCTTAGAACCTAAAGTTGACCAACGTAACCTAAATTGATCCTGTATTCGAATACTAGAGTAATTGTTCAAGGAATTCCACAGGGAAATCTTATCAGTGCCGTATAAATTTTAGCAGGGCAGATAACTACATATGGACATAAGGATCGCAGCAAATATTTCACTATTTTTCGGTAACGTAATTTTCGTACGAACCCCAACCTTGGGTCGTTATTTTTATTTTTACCGAGACTAACGGAATTTTTCAGCCATTTCTTCCTCTCTTGCATCGTGCAAGTTGCATGCCGGGGTTGAAAAATGCAACCCTTTTCCAACCCATGAATCTATTCTATGGCCCATGGGTCTTGTAAGAATTATTCATTGAATAAGCCATGAATCTATATAAGCATGAATAGGTAACTTATGATTTGCAGAGTGAGACAACATGGGCTGAGATGTGGTGCCTGTGCCCGAATATTCGAAATTTGTATGCCCATAGAAACAACATTATTATGTTAAGTTTATTCTGTAACATCACCCTGATCCTGTTTTTTTTTGGGGGGGGGGGGTGACAAATTGTCACTGACAATGCATAATATATTTCAAATTGAGCTAAAAAATGGGGAACAAAGTCCTTCCAAACTTCGTAACGAATTAAAAGCAGGCCTGCCTTGGTGTTGGATGGGGTCATCCATTTACAATTTGCATTAAAATTAACGAGCTTAAAAACATTTCAAGACAATAGATCAAACAATACGTAGAAATTTATATAGTTATACATTAAGTAATTTATAGAATTTATAAAATAAATTCAATCAAAACAAATATTTGTCAAAATTTTCACAAAAGTGACGAATTTCATGAAAGCCACCTTACCAAATGTCTATTTTGTTCGGGGAATTTCATTAAAAAGGTGGAAGCACGTGTCTCCCAAAAATCAATGGGTCAAGATTGCAAGTTTCCTATCCATGCTTACATAGATATATACATAGATTCATGTTCCAACCACACAAATCACCGCTCACCATTTTCCATCCATAACTCCGTCATAACACTTTTATAGGTATATCAACAGTCCTAAACAACACGACGGAAGTTTAATACCCTGTAATAAATAAGTAAGTAAATTGCAAAAATTCGCACATACTTAACATATTTTTTTAATCGGACACACATATTTATGTACTTAGTTTATTTTTGCATAACTAGCTTTACTTTCCACTACTAAAAATCGTCTCAATATCAGTATAAATTATTTTTATATAAATATAAATATATTTTTATATATCAATATAAATTACAGACTGTAAAGTGCACCGGTTCTCCCAAACTGAACCATCCAAATGGGACCCCACCCAGTGAAGAAATTTGAATGTTCCAAATGCTCCAAAACGTTCAAAGACAATTACCGTCTGAAACATCACGAAATCACGCATGATCCTGACGCAAAGGTGAAATGTGAGGTGAGATTTTCATTGCAAAATTAAAACCAATTTGAAAACTCTATCATCTACTTTCCAATCTAACCCTGTACTCCGTTAGATTTGTGGGAAAGTTTCCAAAAATCCAGCCACCTTAACTTCTCACATGAGGAGAATTCACAGTAACCTGGAGCGACCTAAATGTGACACTTGTCACCGAGTCTTTTGCCACGCTGCCAGTTTGCGAGGCCACATTGCAGCCGTTCATAGCAAGATGGATAGACCTCGTTTCCCTTGTGGTTTTCCCGGATGCGATAAAACTTACCAGACCAAGGGTGGTCTACGAACACACGTGGTAGCTGACCACGTCGAAAATCCAGTCCGATTTCCTTGCACACTTTGCGGAAAGGACTTCAAAACCAGGACTGAGCTTGAGGGTCACACTTCCACCCACACGACGGAGAAGCCGTACAATTGTGCCACGTGTGGGAGGAGTTTCGCCCACGTGGGAGCCATGAAACGCCACGAGGTTAATTAGCACGTTGTGGAAAAACTAGATGAAATAGTCTTACCAAGGTGAATATTCATTTTTCAGATGACGCATTTGGAAGCATCTACACGGGCCATGTCAAAGTGTCGCCTCTGTATGCAGACTTTCTTGGAAAGATTTAGTCTACAACGCCACATCCGAGTTGTGCATGAAAATCGAAGGAATTTTCCGTGCAGATTTTGTGACAAGAGATTCGATAGCGCGTCAAATTTGAAGCGTCACGTGGAGGCGCGACACCCCACGAGTAAAGAACTGGTCCATTCCTGCGATAAATGTGAGTACAAGAGCCACTCGAAAATCAACTTGGCCAGTCATGCAAGACGACATCTAGCAGCCAATCGCGAATGCTACTTCTGTGGGAAGAAGTTCCTCACTTTTCCCGAATTAGTCAGTCATTCTCGAGTTCATACTTTAGAAAAGTTAAAATACGTATAAATGTAATTGGTGTATCAGTTATTAGCCGCGCGATATAGCTTGTCCACGTCTCATAGACAAATTAAAGGTGTGCTTTCTGTGTTGTAGACTCTATACTGATTGTGTTGGCGACACACCGTTACTTGGTGTATGAGACGGGGACAAGTTACAGCGCGAGGCTAATATTTGCGAATTTTCGAGTAAATTTGGGACATTTGGCTGGGTGATTTGGTAGAACACAATGAAATTTTGGTTACATATTTACACCTGTACCTAGTAAGTGGACTTGTTCTTATTTAGATAGAATATTTTTTTCTGTGCGAAATAGCCCTAAAATTATTGGTCCCCAGGTTGCCCATTACTCTCACTATATTTTCCCATTTTCGACTACACATGTTAGTATATTCAAAACAAATACGCCTCACATTATTAACGTGTCAAAATATGCAAATGAGAAAGTTGGAATAATTCTATAGCAGAGCACCAATTTGTCCCCCAACGCATCTCTTACATTTTTCAGTGAACAAAATATTGTAAAATAATACAGGCAAATATATCTGTATTCTTATTTTTGGTCTAAAATATGTATACATATGTCAAACAAAATAAAGCTGCTGAAGTATTTAAGCATTTGTAAAACAACACTCATATTTAATTATGTACTTCCATACAATCCTGAAAAAATAGGGTTGAAAATTTAAAGCCCCGAGGTGACCACGTGACTATATACGTAAGAACTTACTTAGGTGGAAACTTGTCACTATTGAAGATTGGATGGGGGTCATGAATTAATAATTTGACAAGTTTTGCCTCGATTACCCTGGTTTAAGTTTCCAGTCCAACTGACCGAACCTATCCAAATGGATCTTCAGCCAGTGAAGAAATTGGTATGTCCCAAATGCTCTAAAATGTTCAAGTACATGCCCAATCTCAGAAATCATGGCATCACGCACGATCCCGATGTGAAGGTGAAATGTGAGGTGAAATTTTTATTTCAAAATTGTGAATACTTTTACAACTCGATCATCCACTTGTCATTTGACTCTATATTTTATTGGATTTGCGGGAAATTTTCGCAAAACCGAGTCGCCTTAACTGCTCACATGAAGCGTGTTCACATTTACCTGGAGCGACCGAAATGTGACACTTGTCACTGCAGCCAGTTTTCGGCAACATATTGCAGCCTCGCAAAGTACCCTGGATCGACTTCGTTTCCCCCCGTGTGCGTTTCACGGATGTGAGAAAACCTACCAATACAAGCCTGCTCTTCAGAAACACGTGAGAATTGAACGCGCCGAGAACCCGGTCAGGTTTCCGTGCACACTTTGGAAAGAATTCAAAAGGACGGATATGAACTTGAGCAATACATTCCCACTCACACGGCGGAGAAGCCGCACAATTGCGCCACTTGTGGGAGGAGTTTCGCCCACAAGGGAAGCCTGAAATACCATTAGGTAATAAAGCACCTTGTGGGGAAATCTAGGTGATAATTGCTAATGTGCATATTCATTTTATTACGCATTCGAAAAGTCTACCCGAGACATGGCACGGTGTCACGTGTTTCCACGGAGTCCGTGGCACGGACTTACTCAGAAAGAGGTAATCTGCCACGACACATCCGAGTTGTGCATGAAAATCGGAGGAATTATCCGTGCGCATTTTGTGACAAGAGATTCTCCAAGCCATTTGAAGTGTCACGTGGAAAGAAAACATGCCACGAATGAAGAGTAGAACCAGTCCTGTGACAAATTGAAGTACAAGAGCCACTCGAAATTCAATTTTGTCGTTCACAGACGACGTCACAATGCAGGGAAGCATGCGTGTTATTTTTGTGGAAAGAAATTCCCCAATTTAGATGAACTGGACAGACATTGTTATGTGCATATTCTAGAAACGTTTTAATATTTACCAATCTAATAGGTGTATCAATAATTTGCGAAGTTTTACTAACTTTGGGACATTTGTAGAAAACGATGGGATTTTAGTCACAAATTTACCGGTTGGTAGGGAATAGGAAATATTTTGAAGCCAGTTTTGCTATGAAACAGCAAAAAATTATTGTTCACCTGTTTTTAGCAAGGAAGATACAAATGTACATATGTAAATGCTTATGGATCCTAGCATATATTGACTCTAGATTTTTCGCTAACGTACATACATACATATGTAATTTAACTATAGGATCCCCAAGCTTGTGTCGTTATTTTTACCCAAGAGAACAAAGGATTTTTCAGCTATTTCTTCCTCCCTTTCATTCCTTGTGGCAGTGCACACTGCGGCCAACCTGTGTAACGGTTTATAGAAAGTTTCTAGACCAATTCTCTCAACTGTTTTAGCATATTACTCGATCTTGGGGGTCGGGGGTTGGTTCCCAAGATTTTGGGCAAGCCACATCCCCTGGGGGGGTGGTTGGCCTTCCGGTTGACCTGGACTACTGAATTGTCGCTGAGGTGGTAGCGCTGGGTGTAGCTAGTTTACATTCCAAATTTGACGTCGTTAGCTTGCTCACAACGCCCGGCGCCAACTGGCGACGCTCGCAAAATGGGCGTTTTAGGTCATTTTCAAGGTTCTGTAGCTTCAAAACCCGGACGGATAAACCTTAGCGGTTTGCGGAGGCTTGAAGTGCACATCCTCGGGAATCAATTTCCGTTGAAACCTAAGAGGGCCGTCTCCCGGTTTCAGTGCTATGAAGCTGTAAACCATGGGGACCTTGCGTTCCCCAAAACAAGGTCATCTGACTACAATGGGTGAAATTTGCTTGGCTCGTTTTGCACCGAAAGTCATATGCGCATGCGCCATGACCAAAGGAATTGATCCCAACTAACTTTGACCGTGTCGACATCCTTTTGTTGAAAATGTCGAAAATTTAAGATATATGGATTTCACCTCAATCGAAATATATCCACATGCTCGACACTTTCAACAAAAGGATGTCGACACGGTCAAAGTTAGTTGGGATCAATTCCTTTGGTCATGGCGCATGCGCATATGACTTTCGGTGCAAAACGAGCCAAGCAAATTTCACCCATTGTAGTCAGATGACCTTGTTTTGGGGAACGCAAGGTCCCCATGGTTTACAGCTTCATAGCACTGAAACCGGGAGACGGCCCTCTTAGGTTTCAACGGAAATTGATTCCCGAGGATGTGCACTTCAAGCCTCCGCAAACCGCTAAGGTTTATCCGTCCGGGTTTTGAAGCTACAGAACCTTGAAAATGACCTAAAACGCCCATTTTGCGAGCGTCGCCAGTTGGCGCCGGGCGTTGTGAGCAAGCTAACGACGTCAAATTTGGAATGTAAACTAGCTACACCCAGCGCTACCACCTCAGCGACAATTCAGTAGTCCAGGTCAACCGGAAGGCCAACCACCCCCCCAGGGGATGTGGCTTGCCCAAAATCTTGGGAACCAACCCCCGACCCCCAAGATCGAGTAATATGCTAAAACAGTTGAGAGAATTGGTCTAGAAACTTTCTATAAACCGTTACACAGGTTGGCCGCAGTGTGCAGTGGTTGAAAAATGCAACACATTTCCAACCACACGCAAATCACCATTCACCTTTATCCATCATAATAAGACTTACATAAATAACGAAATGTTAGTAGTTGAATGTTTAACACAATCACAAATAAACTTGTTATTAGATTGTTTCAACATAGTTTTTTTTTGTTTTACATCAAAAGGAAATCTAAATTTATGTAGTGGATTGTTACATAATTTGGTTTAATCTATTCTACCGAAAAGTCGTAAAATATAAATTAATTGTTCCCACTAACTTTGATTAGTTAGATAAACTCTGGACATTTTAACATAATTTGTAAAGTGCACCGATTTTCAAAAACCGAACACAGATGGATCTCCAGAAGAAATGGGAATGTTCTAAATGTCGTAAAACATTCAAAACCAAGGGCACCCTGAAACGTCACGAAATCACACACGGTCAAGCTGCTAAGGTGAAATGTGAGGTAAGATTTTCATTCCAAAATTAAAACCAATCTCAAAATCAGCATTTTTGCACTACTGTCTTCCCCAGGTTTGCGGCAAAATTTCAAAAAACAGCTTCTCCTTAGCTTCCCACATGCGGAAACAGCACACCAACCTGCAGCGACCAAGTTGTGACACTTGTCACCGGGTATTTTCCGGTGCAACCTCTCTACGTTGTCATACTGAGACTTCCCACAGCACGAAGGAACGAAGTCGTTTCCCATGTCCATTTCCTGGCTGTGAAAAAACCTACCCAAGCCAAGGTGGTCTTTGGCAACACGTTAAGAAGGAGCACGGCCAAAATCCGGTCCAATTTCCGTGCACACTTTGCGGAAAGGAGTTCAAAAGAAGGGCTGAACTTGTGCAACATATTCCCACCCATACGAAGGAGAAGCCGCACAATTGCGCCATTTGTGGGAAAAGTTTCGCCCGCAGGACAGGCCTGAAAAGTCACGAGGTAACTAACCATGTGATGGGGAAAGCTAGGTGAAAATTACCAATGCGATATTCATTTTCCAGGTGACGCATTTGGAAAAATCTACTCGAGACATGTTGCAGTGTCATGTTTGCCCTCAGACCTTCATAACTAGACAAGGTTTACAACGGCACGTCCAAATTGTGCATGAAAATCAGAGGAATTATCCGTGCACATTTTCTGACAAGAGATTCTTCAACTCATCAAGCTTAAACGATCACGTCCAGGCGAAACATACCTCGAATATAGAGCTGATCCATTCCTGCGACAAATGCGAGTACAAGAGCCACTCGAAAGTCTATTTAACCAAACACAGAATACGTCACAATCCAGCGAGCCGTGAATGTTACTTCTGTGTGAAGAAATTTTGCACTTTTCGCGAATTAGTCAGTCATTGTCGAGTTCATACTCAAGAAAAGTTTAAATACTTATTTATGTAAAAAGCATACATAAAGAACGTCCGGGAATGAATGGGAATGCGCGCTCTAGCGAGTATATTGACAAATCAATAAACCCGCGAACTATAATAATTTAAATTTCTGAAAGCCCACTTCATTAGGGTCAATTTGGTATATCACTCTTAAATTTCAAAAATGGATAAGGGTAGAAGAAGCTTGTTTGAAAGGGAGCTGTTAGCAAAACGAGTGATGGAGTTCTACAACACGACAGCCAACCGAGACTCCAAGGTGACCTGGAACTTTTTTAAGCAGGAAGGAATTCCAAGTTCAAATGTGTATTCCTACATAAAAAAGTTCAAGGATTCCGAAAATGTGCAATTCAAGAAGCCAGCTGGTCGTCCGGCGAAGCTAGCGACCACTCGAGTGAAAAATAGAATTGAAAAAATTTTCAAAACCAAGCCATCAACGTCAGTAGCTGTAGCTGCCAGGAAAGTCAAAATTTCCAAAAGCTACCTGGGGGAAATTAAGGTCCATAAATTAGGAATCAAAGCAAGGACCAAAAAACCTGCACCAAATTACAAGCCCGTACAAGAAAGTCGGATCAAGGATTGCTGTCAAAAATTGTTGAAGAAAATGCGTGGAAAAGTAGTGATCCTGGATGACGAAACGTATGTTCCGGTTGACCCTTCAAATCTTCCAGGGCGTCATTTTTTTCATAGCTCGGATCCCTCTGAAGTGGCTTATGAAGAAAAACTACGAAAAAAAGACAAATTTCCAAAGAAATATTGCATTTGGCAATGCATCTCCAGTCACGGACATGTATCAGACCCGGTAGTTCTCGAAGGGAATATCAATCAAGATATTTATCTGAAAAATTGCGTCAAGGCTGGATTGGAAGCATTTATTAATAGGTTTCACAAAAATGATAAAGTTTTGTTTTGGCCTGACCTCGCCACTTGTCACTATGCAAAGAAAGTGACCGAGTACCTCAGAAAGAAAAATATTGATTTCGTACCAAAAGATATCAACCCACCTAATGTACCCCAACTCCGCCCAATCGAAAAATTCTGGGCACGTTCTAAGTCAGTATACTCCCGGCTTCAAGATGTGCCTGACACCTTTCGAAAATTCAAAGGACGATGGAAGAAAATCACCTCGGAAGTGGCAAAAACTTCGGGAAAAAATTTAATGAAAAATCTTCGCAAGAAAATCGAACTAGTCGCCAACGGGGGTGTGGCGGCCTTAGCTATTAATTAAATTATGTAGGTACGTATTTGGTATTATACATATGCAAAAAGTTTAAAATTCCGATAACTCATTGTGATTTTATGACCACATTTTCAGACCATTCCCATTCATTCCCGGACGTTCTTTATGTACATACCTACAATGATTTTAGAATTTTTCCTAAGTTTGCGTAATTTGGCAAAGTCTTTTGGTGGGAAACCATTTTATTTTATTTAATAACAAATTTATGTACATAATAATTGGGCATATTTTTGTTAGAATATTTTGCAAACTTTATTCGTGCGCGAAATATGTAAATCCGCTTTTGTGAGTATTTCCATTTAACCGCGTTAAGCTTGTGTAAAATTGCACATTCTGAATTTAAAAATTTGCAAACAAGAAGACAAATGCATATATTTAATTTTATTCAAGAAATGGGTGCAGTCACGTTGATTTGTCAGACTGTGACCCCCAAATAATGGGGTAAGGTCTTCTCATAAAGATGTGGATCCTGTTAAAAGAATTTTGTCCACATGCATGAATTTGAGATATGTATTTACAGCAGTATGTGGATAATTTTATAATTGGAGTGATCTATTGCACAAGTATACATATTTCGAATAAATAATAAGTACGTTTTTGATACAGAAATCCATACTTGATTAATTTCTAGCAATTCAGAGAAAGAACACGGGGTGTCGCATATTTTATCTCGTCACGAGGTGACCATGTAGGCGGAAAATAACCACTATTTGATAATAAATTTTTCATGAATATCGTGACGCAGGGATATCCTGTCAATGCCATATTAATTTTGGAAAGGACGATAAATAAATATATACGTCTGAATCACAGCAAACGTACGATATTTCGGTAACGTAATGTATGTACGAACTCCAACCTTGGTTCTTTATTTTTATCTGAGACTAACGGAATTTAGATTACGGTCGATTTTAGAAGAATTATGAAGAAGGGTGTGGTCTGTGAATGGTAATTGTGTGACTTTGGATGAGGATGTTATGTATGTAATTGTGAATAGTGGAAAACTTTGATGTTTAATAATGTGTAAAGCACAAAATGGGGGCGTTTTAATTTTGATGTTAAGTTACAAATTTAATGGTCAAGAAAAACTAATGGTTTACAAATTAAGACCGAATTGACTCTCATAAATGTAGAAATTAATTGATTGAAGAGTGACTAATTTGGCTTCCGTGCTGGCTGACGGCTGGCCTGAGAGTGCGGAACAAGTTGAACTTGCTGGGCAAATTGGGCAAAAGAGAGGAGTTTCATAACGCATTTACATAATGATCACAAAGATTAAAAATGAGACAAATTACATATGCCAGTACTGAACAATTATGTCTATGCATATGTACATATAAATTTTACGGATGCATTGAAGTCTAAAATTGCTTACACTTTAAGGAATTTTATAATTGAAATTATCTATTGTCCAAGAATACATATTTCAAATAAAAATAACTGCTAATGTAAGTATTTAAAACAAAAATCCATACTTCATTAATTCCATATTGTCCAGAAGCGAAACTGGAAAAGAAACATACGTAAGTGGAACTGTGAAAAGGTTTTATATTTTATCTCGCTACGAGGTTATCTCGTAACTATGTTAATTCGTGGAAAATTTTCACTCTTCAAGATTGGATGGGGGTCGTATACGAACAATTTAAGAAGTTTTAGCTCCCTACATAGAAAAGTTCTTGTACACTAGAGTTTGACAGTAGTAGCCTGCATTGGCCCTATATTCAGATACTATTATAATTTTCAGGGAATATCGCAGGGAAATTTTATAAATGTCATATTTTGTAAACATTACAGTTTTATTTTGCTTCGCCAAGCTTTCGACAAATAAATATTGCCTTCTTCAGTGTCAACGTAGATAATATAAATATTTTACAATTAATCGCTCTCACAATTTCTATAACTTGATAAATTACATTAATCCTCTTGGAAATTTACGGATTTTTTATAAATGGTAAAATTGTTGGTGTCCATATGGAATTAATTTTCATTCCATTGTTGGTGTTCATTGAATGGATGGATTTCTTGATGTACAAAGCTTCTTAATTTTTCGATGAAAATATCGGGTTTCTCTTTCAACTTACGTGAAAGAGGCCTTATCAATCTCGTGACCCGGATTCTCCGCCATATGAAGGGCAATGATGAATTAATGTCATATTAATTTTAGCTAGGCAGATGACTACATATTATGGACATATGGATCGCAGCAAATATTCCGGCACTAATTTTCCGTAACGTAATTTTCGTACGAACCCTAACCTTGGGTCGTTATTTTTATTTTTACCTAGACTAACGGAATTTTTCAGCCATTGCTTCCTCTCTTGCATCGTGCAAGTTGCATGCCGGGGTTGAACTTTTCCAACCCATGAATCTGTATATGCATGGATAGGTAACTTATAGTTTGCAGAGTGAGACAACATGAGCTTATGCTACGCGACTCTTGCCACGATTTCGTGCCTGTGTCCAAATATTCAAGAAAATCATTTACATAAAAACAGTATTTATTATGTTAAGCTCATTCTGTAAAATCACCCTGAGCCTGTTTGGGGGGGTGGGGGTGAATATGCATAATATATTTCAAACTGAGCTCAAAAATTTAGGCGAAGGCACCAAGTCCTGCAATACAAAGACCTACCTCTGTAACCAATGAAAAACAAGCTTGCCTTGGTGTTGGATGGTGCCATCCATTTACAATTTGTACTAAAATTAACTAGTTTACAAACACGTCAAGGCAATTGAGATCAATTTATGGAATATAAGTGCATACTAAACCCAGAAAAAATATTTGTCAAAATTTTCACGAAAGTGACGAATTTCATGAAAGCCACCCTAACAAATGTTTTTTTAGTTAAGGGGAACTTCATTAAATAGGTGGAAGCACATTCACAGCGTGTTTCACAAAAACCAACGAGGCAAGATTAAAAGTTTCCTATCAATGCTTATATAGATTCATGATCCAACCACACAAATAATCACTCACCATTTTCCATCTTTCCGTCACAACACTTACATATTTATATCAACAGTCCTAAACAACACGACGGAATGTTGAAGTTTAAGAAATAAATAAGCAAATTGCCAAAATTCATAAATATTTAACATTGTTTTTTTTTAATCGGACATAATATTCAATATTTGTGTAGTTAATTTTTGCAACATTTGCTTCAACTACTGAAAATTATCTCAAAATTAATTAATTTTTTCTAACGACTTACAATGGAGGTCTCTTAACGTATGCTCACAGATTTGGAGCAAACTGGTGTCAATCGATCACAAATATAATTATCAGTGGTATGAAATTTGCAAATGGAACTATCTGCTAATAAGGTTTGGCGGCGATATTTGCATAAAAGGAGAAGAAAACGCACCCTCAAGGCTGGCGAATTTTTCGTTTTCCAATTTTGCTGCGCATTTTTCCCACGTTTTATGCAAATATCTCCGCCAAACCTGCGCATTAGCAGATAGTTCCATTTACAAATTTCATACTAATTATATTTGTGATCGATTGACACCAGTTTGATCCAAATCTGTGAGCATACGTTGGGAGACCTCCATTGTTAGATTAATTTTCTGAATTCTGACCACTTTTTGATAGTTCGTAAAGTCCATCGATTCTCACAGACCGAAACCATCCAAATGGGTCCCCATCCAGTGAAGAAATTTCAATGCCCCGAATGCTCCAAAACGTTCAAAGACAAGTACCATCTGAAGGATCACGAAATCACGCATGATCCTGATGCAAAGGTGAAATGTGAGGTGAGATCTGAATTTCTTAATTAAAACCAATTTTACAACTCAATACTTGCCAATTTAACCCTGTACTCCGTTAGATTTGTGGGAAAGTTTTGAAAAATCCAGTCACCTTAATTTCTCACATGAGGAAAATTCACAGTAACCGGGAGCGACCGAAATGTGCCACCTGTCAGCGATTATTTTACAACGCTGCCAGTTTGCGACGACACATTGCAGCTCGTCATAGTACGATGGACCGACCTCGTTTCCCGTGTCAATTTCTTGGATGTGAGAAAATCTACCAAACCAGGGGTGGTCTACGAACACACGTGGTAGCTGATCACGTCGAAAATCAGGTCAGATTTCCGTGCACACTTTGCGGAAAGGACTTTAAAATCCGAACTGAGCTTGAGAGTCACACTTCCAGACACACGAGGGAGAAGCCATACAATTGTGCCACGTGTGGGAGGAGTTTTACCCACGTGGGAGTCATGAAACATCACGAGGTAAGTAAACATTATGTGGCAAAAACAGTGTGAAAATTGCCAAGGTGCATATTCATTTTACAGATGACGCATTTGGAAGCATCTAGACGGGTCATGTCAAAGTGTCGCCTCTGTATGCAGGCTTTCTCAGATAAAGATAACCTGCGACGCCACATCCGAGTTGTGCATGAAAATCCGAGGAATTATCCGTGCACATTTTGTGACAAGAGATTCGATAGCGCGTCAAATTTGAAGCGTCACGTGGAGGGTGTGCATCCCACGAATAAGGAGCTGATCCATTCCTGTGAAAAATGTGAGTACAAGAGCCACTCGAAAGCCAATTTGAGCTTCCACGCAAAACGACACCTAGCAGCCAGTCACAAATGTTACTTCCGTGGGAAGAAATTCCGCACTTTTCCTGAATTGGTACAACATTGTCGAGTTCATACATTAGAAAAGTTAAAATACGTATGAACGTAATTGGCGTATCAAGTTTGATTATTCAAGTTCATGATTGTTTTGCTATGCGAAATAGTCTAAAATTATTGTTACGGGCTGCCAAAGTCTCTCTGCATGCTCATTTTCGGCGATAAATGTTAAGTAAATACTAACCCAATACGCCTCACATTAATGCGTCAAAATATGCAAAGAGCACGTTGTAATAATTCTAGGGTACTAATGGAGGTCCCCCAACGCATCTCTTATATATTTTTCAGTGAACAAAATATTGTACAAGAATACAGGTATACCTGTATTCATGTTTTTTGTCTAAAACATGTATACATATTTCGAACAAAATAAAGCTGCTAAAGTATTTTTAAAAGAAGATTCATATTTAATTACTTCTATACAATCCTGAAAGGAAATAGGTTCAATATTTTATGCCACGAGGTGACCACGTGAATATTTATAAGCAAGTAAAGGGTGGCCCAAATGTATCTCCCGATCATTTTTTTGCACGAGTTCAAGACAGAAATCGGCTCTCATATCTGAACCAGTGAATATTTTAATTTGAAAATTTTACCATTAGAGGTCCAATACTAAGAGTTAATTATGAAAATGATAAAGTTCAGATACAAACCTTACTTGGGCGCCAATTAAAAGCACAAGAAAATTCAGATAATTTTGGATGTGATAAGGAAACAGTAAGGCCACGGAGTAACAAAAATTTGTGTACATCCAAAAAATGGTCAGGGCGACGCAGGAAGATGTCGCCTACTACGAAAAGAATGATTAAGCCCAAGATTCATCAAAACCTGAAAGTTTGCTACTTAATTGTACAAAAGAGCAAAATTACTTAAACTACCTCAAAGAAAATAACATGAAAATTGGTTGCTGCTCATCGCAGAAATTTGGGTAATGAGCGAAATATAGTATGGTCGGTTAGGAAAGAAACCTTTGAAAATGCCTGTAAAATCCTAAAAACTTAATTAATTCCAAAGAAATTTTCAGGGGTTATAAACAAGGTCTCTACTATTCAATTTTTTGCTTCATATGGTCGATAGACCCCCATCCTTCCTATCTGGCGAATTATTTGCCTCGCGGTCCCAAGAAGTGCTTTGCCACTCTTTCTCGCTACCACTTTTGAGGTGTGTGTCCAAATGTGACGGAATCTTACCAAGTTTTTGGGTGGTTTTGTTCGACGACTATATTCTCTCTTGCATAATGCCCAAAATCGTTCAATTGGTCATGCCTGAGGGACGTAGGGAGCATATTCCTTTTTTGCAACAAAATCGATTTTTTTCGACCGCAGGTAATCCTGAACAACTTTTGAAGAATTACATGTTGCTGTGTCCGGTCACAAAAGTACACTACGATTATTGATACAGGGGATCAAGATCTTCTTTACACAGTCGTTCAGATATCTCTCCGAGGTCATGGTGGCTGTGGTCACGAACGGCTTTGAGACGTCCCCCAATGAGTCCAGTACTTGCCCAATTATGTGCTTTGTGGGGAATTTTGACTTCGGCGTGTATTTGAAAAAATCTTTAAACGTTTTTTTATTTGTACATAAGTAGTACTTCCTCGCGGGGACTTCATCTGGATCAATCGAGCTCTTGGCTGATCATCCATTACCAAAATCACGGGCATGTTTTGCTTGACTCGTTTTTCAGCAATCTGCCGAGAGTTGGGCTTTGCTCTTTTTTGCTGACCTTGGTTGTACTTTGGTGCAGGGGTCGCCTTATAGGATTTGACCCCCAACTTCGTAGGTTTAATAACATGTAAAATTAATTTTGCTATTTTCAATTTGTAGCCCAAATTACCATCTGATATCCCAAGGTTATTTTTGTCTTCTTTCTGAACTCTACGTATCACTTTGGGGGTCGCTACACGAGCAGGACGATTTTTTAATTTTTTGAATTCAGCATTCCTGCTCTCCTCATACATATCTAAAACTCTGAAAATTGCACCATTATGAATTTTTTCTCTTTCGAAGTGGCTATAAACCATCATCCGGACGCGCTCGCACACTTTGTCGTAGTAGTGGCAAATTTTTTTTGCGACTTGTTCTCGATCTTTTGTTCTCATTTTTGAACTAGTCGAGATATCGACTTCCGGTTTTCGGATTTGGGTAGTTAATCGCATGGACTAGAAAACTACCGCGTTGGTAAACTATGCACTTTGGTAACATTAGTAGTAGTGAATTATTCCAAAATGCAACAAAATTAGTTTTCATGCAGGACTGTCCTCCAGCTCACACATTAAATACAAAAATTAGTATTTTTGAATGGCAAGATTCAATTGTGTAGATTAAGGGAGTGTGGTCCGGTAAAATTCTGGATATGAGTGTTTTGGAGAACCAAGGGTCCATAGTTGAGGAGGATATGAAACAAAGATCTAAAACCGCTCAAATCAATGGAGTTAATGGTGAAAGTAACAGAAAAATGCAATTCAATACCGAAAATCAATTTGAAAAAGTATCACAGAATTCCAAGATAAGCGTTGAGGACATTGTTAAGGTGAATTGTTGAAAGACCAAGTACTAAGGTATGTGCGAGAGGAAACTTTGATTCGTTGCGTCACATGGTTTTCAAAAATAGGATCTTATTCTTTTGAATGAAATATTCGGGAGATACATTTGGGCCACCCTTTAGTAATTTTTGAGGGAATATCATGACGCCAGGGAATTTATATAAATACCAATAATACCATGCTAATATTAACTATTGAAGAAAAATACATATGCATCGATCACAGCAATTATTGAGTCCAGAATTTTCCGTAATGTAGTTTATGTGGTATCCCAAAACTTGGGTCGTTGTTTCATGTTTATCCAAAACTATAGGACTTTCTCAACCTTTCCTCTCTCTTGTATGCCTCGTGGCTGTGGTTGAAAAAAGCAAAAGTTTTCCAACCTCCCAAATCACCATTCACCATTGCCCATCCATCATACATAAGCCGTCCAAAACACGACGCAAGGTTACTGTTGAAATTTTACACACCGATTTCTACTAAAACTTACAATGAGGAGGTGTGAGGTGGTTATCACCGATATCCACCGGATTAATTTTAAATTGTTTACGTTCAAAAATAATTGGACCCGTATTTTTTCGTTTTCCTGAATGGGCATGTTTACGCCCTTGGCGGAATTTTCAAAAAAAATTTCAACCAAAATTCGGATTTTTAAAAACGCTGTAACTTTTCGAATTTTAACCCGATTTCAAAAAATAAACCCATTTTTTGTTCAGAATTACATCCCTGAAAATATAAAAATTCATTTTTTAAAAACTTTTAATTTTCAAAAAATTATCGTTTTTTGGGTTTAAAAAAATTCAGAAATAGCATGAAAATATCAAATTTTTAAAATTTTTAAAAATGACTTTTAATCTTTTAACTTTTAATTTTTTGAAAATTAAAAGTTTTTAAAAAATGAATTTTTATATTTTCAGGGATGTAATTCTGAACACAAATTGGGTTTATTTTTTGAAATTGGGTTAAAATTCGAAAAGTTACAGCGTTTTTAAAAATCCGAATTTTGGCTGAAATTTTTTTTGAAAATTCCGCCAAGGGCGTAAACATGCCCATTCAGGAAAACGAAAAAATACGGGTCCACTTATTTTTGAATGTGAACAATTTAAAATTAGTCCGGTGGATATCGGCGATAACCACCTCACACCGTCGCATTGTTAGTTCTAAATTGGTAATATTTAGTAGATTGTTACAAAGTTTGATTTAATTTTCACTAACAAAAATTGCCCCAATTTAACATACATAGTTATCCCCACTTTTTATATGTTAAATTAATCCAACCCATTTTTAGAAAGCCCATAAAGTGCATCGATTCACACAAACCGAATCCAGATGGATCTCCAACAAGTTAAGAAATTTGAATGTTCCAAATGCTTTAAAACGTTCAAAGACAAATACAAGCTTAAGAATCACGGCATCACGCATGATCCCGATGCGGAGGTGAAATGTGAGGTGAGGTTTTCATTTAAAAATTGTAATTATTTTTACAACTCGATCATCCACTCGCCATTTTAACTCAACACTCCCACAGATTTGCGGGAAAGTCTCGAAAAACCGAATCTCCTTAAATGCTCACATGCGGAATATTCACATTAACCGGGAGCGACCAAAATGTGACACTTGTCACCGAGAGTTTTACGACGCTGCCAGTTTGAGAAAGCACATTTCAGCCGCCCACAGCACGACAGATCGACCTCGTTTCCCATGCACATTTCCTGGCTGTGAGATAACCTACCTAAGCAAGGACAGTCTTCGGCAACACGTAAAAACTGAACATGCCGAGAACCCGGTCCGTGCACGCTTTGCGGAAAGGACTTCAAAACGAGGCGTGAACTTGAGGGTCACATTCCGACCCACACAACGGAGAAGCCGTACAATTGTGCCACTTGTGGGAGGAGTTTTGCCCATATGGGGAGCATGAAACGTCACGAGGTATTTAAATAAGCAGGCGTAGTGGGAAATACTAGGTGAAAATGGCTAATGTGCATATTACTTTTACAGGTGACCCATTTGGAAAAGTCTACCCGAAACATGACAAACTGTCACCTCTGTCCACGGGCTTTCTTAGATAGAGGTAATCTGCAACGCCACATCCTAGTTGTGCATGAAAATCAGAGGAATTATCCTTGCTCATTTTGTGATAAGAGATTCTCTGACTCATCAAGCTTAAAGGATCACGTGGAGGCGAGACATCCCACGAATAAAGAGAAGATCCATTCCTGCGACAATTGCGAGTACAGGAGCCACTCAAAAGCCAATTTAACCGCTCACAAAAGACGTCACAATGCACCGAGGCATGGGTGTTACTTCTGCGGGAAGAAATTCGTGAATTTTTTCAAGTTGGGCAGTCACTGTAGCGTTCATACTCTAGAAAATTTAAAATATTAATGTATGTATGCAATACCAATATCAATTATTTTCGCATCGTTACAAAGTTTTCTACATTTGAAAACAACTTTTCGTTAAACCAAGGGATTTTAGTTATAAATTTTCCAAGTAATTAATGTATTTCGCTGGAATACTTACTTGGCAAACTCTATTTCTATGCAAAACCAATATGTATGTACATCCACTTAGACTCGTTGAGCTTAGATACTTAATTTGACGGGACTGATTATTTTATTTAGTCAATCGAGGTTGTTTAACTAATAATAATTTTTGGCCTTTTCCCATCTCTTTTCGTTGTTATTCATATACTGATAATAAATATGTGCAAGTGGTTGGGTGAACATTGTGCTCATTAAACAATGTAAGAAATTATTACCGGCTCTTCCGGTTTGGTTCGGTACATGTACATATGTCAAACCTCATTGGAGTTTTAAGTCCTA